AAGTAAAAACAAATTAATGCAATCAACCTGGGAAATATGCTAGATTCAATACATTCACATCTTGGAACTCAACTCTCATTGATTTTATCTTGGAAATCCACTCTTATTAATGTTATCTTAGGAATCCTCTTTCATTGATTTCATCTTGAAATTATTGATGTTATCTTAGGAATCCTCTTTCATTGATGTCACTTTAAAAATACACCATTGTTTATATCGTTTTGGAAATGCATCACCATTTATGTTTTATTTTTTTTATTTTTTTTAAATTTAACAATATTTAATTCTTCTTGAAGTTTCCACTAGTCACATAGGAAATTCAAGTAGCATTAAATAAATTATTGATTGGACTCCTCTAGAAGGACCAATGAAAATGCATCTTCTGAAAGTTCGCATTGGTTTCGACTCGGCTAGGTTAAAATCAGCAAGGGCGAAAGAGGTCTCTATGCCTGTGTTTTGAATTTATTTTCTTCGTCTAATTGAGTTGCCAAAGCTGGAACTTGATCTTGAAATTTTCGTGCTTTGCTCTGAGTTATTGGTCCCGGAGTAGTTGAGGTGTTTGCATTGCCTTACTTGAGACGATCTCGTCAGAAGGCCTCTAAAGAAGAGCCGTTGTATATGCTCTTAATGCTCATTGTGTGACTTGATTTTTTTTATTTTGCAAAATCTGTCTTATGGTATGTGGAGAACGGTTTATGATTTTTAAAAATTTAATAATATATTTATATTTATTTTATATTATTCAATTTTTATAAAACAATAATAATAATTAAAAAAGTAATATTCCTTTCGTTCAGATTGAATTAAACTCTTTATTAGCGATATGATATTTAAAATAATAATATTTAATTAGTTAATAATAGTGACTTATGATATTATTTTATTATTTTTTATATAATTAATAATATTTTTAGTTTTAAAATGAATTTAATATATATAATTAAAAAAATTAGAATATATATTTAAATATTTTTTATGACAAATATAGAGATAAATAGGTTTTGAATGAGTCATACTTAATCTATAATAAATTAATTAAGTTAATTTATATTTGTTAAATATATTTTGATTTAGTAAAATTTTATCCAAACAAAAAAATTGTCAATTAAAATGAAACAAAAAAAGTATCTAATTACTAATGTCTAATGATATGAAATAAATAACAATGTAACACTGTTTTGTATATTTATATAGATATATATACTTTAATTTCATTCAAAAAATACTTATTGTTGATTATATAACAAATATTTTTCCATATAATTACATTTCATTTAAATTATATTATTATAATATAATACATAAAAATAATAATAGATAATTGTAAATACATAATTAACTTTATAAAATGTAATTGTTGTAAATTTATTCTCGAATCCTTTGGATTTATCTAACAAAACCTCGTATACAAAAATATCTAATCAATGAATTAGCGGAAACGAATTTAAATAAAACCAATACTGAATCGAAATGAAATTAAACACAGTTAAAACAAAGGCAAATCACAAATCAGAGAATCGATTTTGAAACACAAACAAACAGCCTTAATGAATTAAAGAATGCAATTGTAATCCTCCATGTCCGTTGTCTTCACGGAAATTGGGAGAATCATATCCAACTTCCAGCCACGATAATCAAACCAAAATCAACGACGACGACACCTCTTTCTGTAGCAGACGACGACGGGCGGGCACCGGCAGCGACCAGCGGCGGATGGCAGCACCAGGTCGATCTGATTGGCGGCGCTCCGGCGACTCCGACCAGCGACTGCTCCTCCAGTCTTCTCCGGAGAACAGCGACGAACAGAAACAGCTCCGGCGACTTCCGAAATTCCACCGATTTACTCCGATCTTCTTCGATCTTTCACCGGCGGCGAAGGGACGGCGGATATCGGCTCAATCCATGGTGCGAAGTGGCCCGACGTAATCACGCCTCAAGGTGGAGGTCGGCTCATCACTCCAAGCCACGACGCCCACCGGAATCGGCACAAGAAAGGGTTTTTCACTCGCCGGAAAACCACTCGGAACTCACCGGAATCCTCTCGCGGTTTCTCTCCCACTCCATCTCAGTTCACTCCCTCACCCTCAATCTCTCTAACTCCGTTATGGTTTATCTCACTTATCCAAAATCGGCTCATCAAAAAACGTTTTTTAAACTAATTTTTAATAATTTTTCCAAACTAAAAAACCACACACGGTTATAACCAACATAACAACCTAACAAATTAACTTAGGATTTGATATATGGATTTGGGTTAAAGGGTTTCGGTCGAATTCGATGAGTCGAACTACGGAATAGGCCAACTAATTTATTTATCAAAAGATTGAAAATTCTCTACAGTAATAAATTCATTCAATTAATTTTTATTTTTTATTTTTGCTTTTTTGCCTCCAACCCAATCATTCTATATTTTCAACAGTACATAATACTAACTCTATGCATTCCAAGGCAATTGGATGCACGATTAAACTCCGATAAAAAAATAAAATAGAATACATATTTAAATATTTAAAACTTATATATTGATAAAATAAATGCAGTATCATTTTTAGAGAATAAATTTTATATAATGCAAATAAATAAAAAATATACTTTTTTTGTACCATTCGAATGTATCCCTCTAGATTCTGTAATAAATTACTCCCTCCGTCTCAATTACTATAGACACGAGAATTTAGGTAAAGTATAATTAGTAAGTAATTAAAAAATATATTAGTAAAAATAATTATATATTAAGATTAAGATAAGTAAATAGTTTAATTAAAATTAAAAAATTATAAAATTTAAAATTTAAAATGCGATTAAATTACATAATTATATTTCCAAAAATAGAAAGGACAAGTTACGTGCGACGGACGAAAATAAAAAATAGAGACAAATTATGTGGGACAGAGGGAGTAAAAAATAATAATATTTTATTGATTAATAAAAGTATATAACATGTTTTAATATTTGTGTCATTTGATTTTATATATAAAACAATTGTATGTGTAATAATAAATTTTTAATTTAAGTAAAAATCAAAGATATTTTTATAGTAGTGTATGCTTAATTTTCTTAAAAGATGAAAGAGACTTTTGAATAAGACAGATGAAAACAATAAAAAATGTATTTTAAGTTGAGACGATTTATTTATAATTAACATAAACTAATTTTTATGAAAAAAAGAGTTTAAAATATAGATAAAATATTTATTCATTAAAAAAGATAGAAATAAAAGTATCTTGGATTGGGTCTACATAATGTATAATAAAATTAATAAAATTAATTTATATTTATTAAGTATATTTTGAATTATTAAATCTTATCAAATGTCGAAAAATCTCAAGTAAAATAATATACAAAAATGAAAAAAAATTAGACGAAGAGAGTAGTAAAATAATACTCCCTCCGTCTCATATCTATCTATCTATTTGTTTTTTGTACAAAGTTTTAGAAATATTAGTATTATATTGAGATATAATATAAATAAAAGTAAAAAAAAGACTAAACTAACTTTATTAGTATTGTATGATATAAATGTAATAATATTTGTGTAATATATTGTAAATTGGAAGAGTATTTGTAATGTTAGGTAAATAATACAATTACTAAAAAAGAAAATGAATATTTGTTATGGGACGGACTAAAATGAAAAAAAAAAATAGATTATTAAAAGACAGATGAAAGGCATAATAAAATATTATTTATTCGTATATACCAAAAATGCTAAAAAAAAATATGGTTTTATATCGAAAATATTTAATACTATATTACATAATTGAGAAATCTATGGTATACCTGTTTGGTAATTAGTTTTTTAAGAGCTTTTAACTTATTTAAGAGTTTTTATTGTTTGATCATTCAAAAAATTAAGTATGATGTTTGGTAAACAAGTTTTTTGAAACATTGGTTCCTAAAAATTAATTTTCAAAAAGCTATCATAGGCAGCGTTTCATAAGAGCGTTTTCACCCAAATTATATTTATTCCATAATTACCCTTAAATATTAATTATTCTCCTTACACATAGTTATATTTATTATTTTAATGTATTTATATTTTTGGTAATTATAATTTTATTTTTTAAATTTCAAGTAACTGAAATTATGAATTATTTTATATATTTTTTATTTTCTTTGTAAAATATATTAATTTATTAAATTAAGAAAAAAATATAAATATTATTCATTTACTTATATATATATTTATTATATAAATTTTATATTAAAAATAAACAAATAAGATTAAATTTATTGTAAATTATAATAAAATACATAAAAATTAAAATTTTGTTCTTTAATATTTTGTATTATTTTCAATACAAAACTTATTATTTTTTTTAGTAAAAATATATTATTTTTTTAAAATTACAAATAGCAAAATAAATATATAAATAATACATTCATAATTTTCGATAATCAATAACAAAAATTATTTAAAATCTTAAACTCCATATAGTATAATCGGATATTTTAAAAATACAATGTAAATATCCACAATTGTCATTTCAGGTATGAACAGCTAATACTAGACGGTTGTTTCACTAAACACTTTAATACATACCGCTAATTGAATCAACTAGTCAAACTAGCTAACAAAACCAAACACACATTTTGATATATATATATATATAGACTATGTGATTTTATCCCTAATTTTACTATTGTAATTTATTTTTTAAAAAAAATATAAAATCAAATATCCGTTATTTATTTATTTTATTGCACTATATCTAGTTTTTTTACATTCAAAATAATATATTAATACATATTTATATCAAAACAAATAATTATTTCAATTAAACATTTTACTATTTAAAACAAAAATAAAAAAGCATAATCCTATAAATAAACAGACTCATAGTTTGGACCCATATGACCGGGCATACAATACAACCATACAATATTGTACGAATGAATGAATATCTCAATGGGCCTTGATCGGATCAAGGCATATATCTATTGGGCCCAAATTTGGCGTGCGTTTTTATAAATTCGAAACCCTAATTGATCATAAAGCCCCTCCTCCTCTCCTTGTGTCGTATCGTGTATCCGTCAATCCCCAATTAACTGCACCTAGGGTTGCTTACCCAGAGACCAAGAGGAGAAGAAAGGAAGCGGTTGTCCGACGATGGCAAAAACGCCTCCTGAATCTGTGCAATGCTTTGGGCGTAAGAAAACGGCGGTGGCAGTCACCCACTGCAAGCGTGGCCGCGGACTGATCAAAATCAACGGCGTTCCGATCGAGCTCGTCCAACCAGAAATCCTCCGCTACAAGGCGTTCGAGCCCATCCTTCTCGTAGGCCGCCACCGCTTTGCCGGCGTGGACATGCGTATCCGCGTCAAGGGAGGCGGTCACACCTCTCAGATCTACGCCATCCGTCAGTCCATTGCCAAAGCGCTCGTTGCTTTTTATCAGAAGTATGTCGACGAGCAGTCGAAGAAGGAGATCAAGGACATTCTCGTGAGGTATGATAGGACTTTGCTGGTCGCTGATCCGAGGCGCTGCGAACCGAAGAAGTTTGGAGGACGTGGTGCTCGCGCGAGGTTCCAGAAGTCGTATCGTTGAATTGTTGGTAGTGCTACTGTGATCATCAGCAGAGGTTTGATAGTTGAATTAAGATTACTTTATTGTGTTTTGATTATCCTGCAATTTGCTCTCCTCTTTGTCCATGGATCGTATGCGACGGTTTTGAGATATTTTTCTATGCATTTTCTTTTACAATTAGTATGATTGTTGGTTTATCGCCAAATTGTTAGAGCAGTGATATTGGAAGATATGGAATTGATGATTTGTGGGGTTTCTTCATTTCCTATGATATCTAGATGGAATTGGTAGTTAGCAGGCATGTCTTTGATATCTAATGTGCTATGATGTTTTGGGCTCTGCTTGTTTCTTGTTCCCCACTAATTATTGTAAATGCTGCAATCTACTTCTGTGATATTGTTGTGATTCTTCTTGTTAGACCAGCTTGAATCTATTTGTGTAACAACACAGAATGATTCATATTGAAAGAAGTGGATTCAACTCTGGCAGTGGGTTGTTTTCGTGCTATATTCTCTCCCTGTATGTTATTTGTTGTCACAGCATCTGTTGATTTTGTATTAACTAAACAATTATCAATATAAACATCCCACATGCTATATTTTAGGGAAAAAGACTATATTGTAAAGTTTATGTGTTTATATGCAATTTGAAAAGTACTTTTGTTTGTGGGTTTGGGGCTTTGGGTTTGGATTTTTGAATAGTAGAAAGTTGAATTTGAATAGTTGTTTGATATGATATAAATAGATATTGATGTGATGTTTTGAATGTAGAATAAATTTATAGTATAATATAAAAAAAAAGGTAATTGTTTGATTTGATATTTTTGGTGAAAAAAAAGAATTTGAATAGTAAAAACTTACGGTAAAACTCACAAAAGAACACAAACTTATGGTTAAACTCAATAACTTAAGGTAAAACTTAGAATGTCCTGGTGATGTCTTGTGTCTTCATTCTTGATTTTGTTGAAGTGTTGAGTAAGTTTATTTCATGATTCTCCAAGAGAATGATTAGTTGTTTGCACTTTATTCATTTCTTGCCTACATGGTTTGCCATTGCATCAACATGGTCCATTGATACCGACAAATCCTGGCAATGTCGGGAGGATCGACCATTATGGTTGGAAAGAAAAACATTCTCTTGTTTGCTATTTTCTATATTAAATAAAGATTCATATTTTACTATATATATTATCTATGTTTTTAGTTATGTGGAATTCGCAATTGTTATAGTTGTCTTGTCTAGTAAAGGGTACAATGGAAATTCATGGAATATACAGTCAATCACTGAGTGCTTTCTAACTTGTGCATTCTATTCATTCAAATATCAGATATTTAATTTTTATGATATTTACTGTCATTGCATGCATGCATGCTTGTCTTGTTGAAATGAGTTTTCACAGTAAATTTTATAGTATTACATTACAATATAATACTATAATAAAATGTATCTTATCTTCTACATTATGTTAAATAGAAAATTTAGATATTGCTTGACAATTGAATAGTTTGAAAGATCTAAACAATAGAAAAGGTATTACCTGTTGGGAACAAGGAGGAAGAAATCCTATTGAAGCATACAACAAAGAAAGGCAGCACTGATGAAAAAAGATATGACAATTGAACTTGAACTTAGTGGACAAAAGAAAAGGTTGGTTGTTCAAAAAATACATCTTGTTCCGGCGGGAAAGATAATTGGCAACTAAATTTAGGGAAGAAAAGAAAAGGTCAAATATGAAAAATCTGTAGAAGTTAGTGCATCTCCAATGCAATGGCAATTTTGACGTTGCAACCCCATTTGTGCCGTTGACGGTCTCCAATCGGGCGCCAATTGTAACACCATCTTTGGTAACTGCATATTTAGAGATGACCTTAATATTTATGAAATAAACATAGGTGAAATTGGGAAATCCGATAGAAAACTATGATCAATATTTAAAGTCTCTAAGTTATCATGAATTGAGAATTTCTTTATTGAAAAGAAACTAGAACTAACAAGAGTGATGACATAGGTGAAATTAGGAAATGCAATATAGAAAACTATGACCAACATCTAAAGTCTCTAAGTTATCATGAATTGAGAATTTCTTTGTTGAAAAGAAACTAGAACCAACAAGAGAGATGATCAATCTTGACTTTTGATGGGCTAGGAAAAGAAAGGTCCCTTACAGATAAATATATATATTTTACTTACAATAAATATAAATAATTAAATAAAATATAATTTTTTAAATCTTTTTAGATGCATAATCATTAATATTTTCTCAATTAGTCAAAATTAAGTACACTTTCTTTGTAAAATACGGAGAAAGTGTAACTAATTTTGGTAGACGGAATGACTAATATAGTATCAATATAAATTTTGTATAACATTTTTTGAATGCTTAATATTGTTAAATCATTTAATCGTTCCTGAAATATATACAATTTTAACGATTCTAAAAAGTTTTTAATAATTTTCATTTAAATTTTTTTTTTTCAGCCAATGCTATAGTTACAGGTACGGTTAATAATATGTCTAATAAACTTATTTGCAAAATTTTTAATTCTAAAATAGTTTTTTATAGGTCAATACCATTTAACAATTTTAATATATGTGAATTAAATAAAAAAATTAAATATTTTTAATTGTATTAATCAAAATAAGTGTTGTATCTCTGTAACTTAAAAATAATTAACTTTAAAAAATTCAAAAAAAGTAAATAAATTTCAAGCTCATTTTATAGCATGTAGATTCCATGTGTGGCGAGGTAGATTCTTCTATTTATTTTTTCATACACTCACAAATTTATTATTGCAATTTTCATAAAAGAAAATGCTACCAAGATAATTCGTAATATTCCTAAATCAACAAACAATTTAATATCAAAATGCACATTCTTGCCACAATACAATAAAAGTTCGTGCCCTTTTTCTTGGATTTTTTCTCAAATCATCTTTTTTCATGTTAAACTTTTTCATTTTAATCTATATCGTTAGTTTTTTTTCTTCTAAAAAGTATACTCCCTTTATCCCAATACAATAGTTTTGTTTACTATTTTTTTTTTTGTCTCAAAACAATAGTCTCATTTCCATAACTATTCATATCACCATAAAATTTACCATACTTTTTCATTATGATTATACAAATACCTATTTTTTACACTAATATACTCACAAGGGCAAAAAATCTTTTACTCGTATTTTTTTACCAACTATCAATATAATATCACTATTCCTTAAATTCCGTGTCTAACACAAATACGACTATAATTTTGGGACGAAGGAATTACATTTTTTTAGCCATATACGGACAATATCCATATCAATAGTAATTTATTTTGCAACACTTGTACTATTAGAAAATCCTTAACTTCTATAATTTTCAAATTATAATTAAGTTATTTCTCATTGTTTTATAGCAGTATCAATGCATACAATTCATGTTGTAATTTTTTATAATATTAATGACAAATAAAATATAAACTAATAAAAAATCATAAGATTCAAGTAAACTAATCAAATTTTCACTTTCGCTCTTTAATTTACCATTATCACGAGAATTAATTAAATCTAATAGAATTAATCTAATTTGAGGAGTTTGAAACTTAATAGTTTTAATTCGATTTTTCAATAGATATTTGACAAAGATTTTAAAGTTAAATCCGAAACATTATCAAGTAAATTTTTCATTTTTTTTTACAATTTGAATATAATGTATATATACGTTGTACAATCCAAAAAAAAAAAAAAATGAAATCACTTTTGTATAAAAATATGCCATATTACAAATAGTAATGTTAAGATTATGACAAACACATGACATAATGCTTTAGGATTTATATTAAACAATCTTTCTTGAATCATTTGATGTTTACATTTCATATTAGAACTATTATCGTAACATTGCCATATTATATTATCAATATTAAGATAAAAAAAATTTCAAGTGCATTTTTCAATTCATTGAAAAGCCGTAAACAACTTGAATAATCTATTTTTAAAAATTGTAAAAAGTATTCTTATATCTTAATATTATTATTTGACATGTTTATACATCGCACGATTAATATCATTTGTTCATGATGAGTAATATCCGGAGTACAATTAAGAATTATAAAAAAAACTTTCTGATTCTTTAATAATTTTATAATGGAATAGCTAATAATACTATTAGCTAATAAAAAAATCAATTCACTTTGAATATTGTGACCAAGATAATGATAATGAATTTCATTATTTTGAATACATCATACATAGAATTCCAAAATCATTTCAATTATTCTTAAAAAATTTATATTATTATATTTATAAAAAAATTTATTTGATCATTGAAAAACTAAATTATGTTTAGAAAGATATTTTAAAACCAATATTATTCTTATTAATATTCGCCTTGAACGTTCATTTTCTTTTGTAATTTTTAGTTAAATATCGATCTATTGTTTGATTTTTATTTAATTTATTTTAAATTCATTCCAAATATTTATATGTTTTATATGTTTAATATTATTTTTATGTTATTTAAGTCTTCTCGCTAAATGTTTCTAATAGTTGGAGATTTCCAAATGATTTTTCATCAAGCTGAAACGAATTTTCTATGTGAAAATAATGGTACAAGTTTTTATTATGTTTTACTTGTTTTCAACAAGGAAATGTGTTTGATCCTCTGGGGTTTGAGTTTTGAATTATGATTTAAATAGTAAAAATTTTGAATTTGAATAGTTGTATGATGTGATATAAATAGGTGTTAATGTGATATTTTGAATGTAAAATTGATTTTTAGTATATATATGAAAAATAGGTGTTTAATTTGATGTTTTTTGGGAAAAAAATTGGAATGAATAGTGTATTTAAAATTCAATCCCCCAACCAAACACACCCTAAGACTAAAAAAAAAAAAAAAAACTATTAAATAGTCTATTATGTTTAAATGAAAATGGTGATTCAAATTATGCAAATGACAAAGATAAAAAAAAAATAAACTACTTCACATGTGTTTTTAGATTGTGTAGATATATCAATAGTTGAAAATGTCAATTACAATATATTGTTGTTTTTAAAAGAGACTTTGTGGTTGAAAGGACGGCTGACATAAATTCGTTTATTAAATGTTGTTGTACATTTCGACAGTCCATTGGGTATACAACTTTGCAAGAATCTTTTTTTTTTTTTTTTTTAACAATCGAACCAAATATATAAATGTTATGTTTCAAGTTATACATGATTTGTTGTTAAAAGTTTCGTAAAGTTGGAAAAAATTCACTCGGAATATAATCAGACTGATGTGGGTACTAAATATCTACCTATTCATAAATTTGAATCGTCTTTTCTACAATTTCGATACCTTTAATTATTATTTTCAAATTACGTTTCAAATATGTACTAAAATTTATTATGATTTATTTTTTAAATATTTCTTATTATTAATTTTTTTAAATCCAAAATTAATAATATTTAGAATTGAGAATTTTTATACTCCCCCGTCCCATATAAAGAGTAACGTTTGTTTTTTGCACGTAAATTTACCAAACTTGAGCATTATATGCTGCCTAGGAGAATAGAAGTTATCTCAAAGGTGGATCTTATCAAATTAATTTTGTAGAGACCTACCATGCAAGGCAGACTTATGAAATGGGCCATTAAATTGGCTCTTTTCACTTTGCAACATTCTCCGCTAAAGGCGGTCAAAGGTCAACCAAATAGCATATTTTCTGGCGGAATTTTCAGGAGACAATCAAGAAGAGATCGAGTGCATATCTTATGTAAGTACCTGAACCTGGTCAATGTTCTTCGATGTATCTACTTCGGGAAATAGGTCAGGTGCAGGGGTTCTGTTATAAGGACCAGATGGCCAAAAGATCAAGTTACAGCTTCAATTAGAAGCTATGACCCACAATTCTGCAGAATATGAGGCTCTAATCCTGGGATTGGAAGCCTTAATAGCCAGGAATGTTCAGTCGGTAGTCATAAGGGGAGATTCTCAATTGGTAATCAATCAGGTGACCAAACAATATGTTTGCAATTATCCTCATCTACGCAGATACAGAGATGTTGTATATCGATTGTTATCAAAAATCTCAGAGGTGATGATTGAATTCATCCCTAGAAAAGAGAATCAACATGCAGATGAGTTAGCTCAAAAGCATGGAAAGGAATCCCGAAAGAGATGTGTGCAGAGATCGAGTCGGGAACAGAAGATAGGACCGATTGGAGGACAAAAATTGTCATGTATATGCAAAATCCGGGAGCAAATGTGCTGATAGGGGTACGTTTGAAGGCCTTACAATTCCAATTGATAGAAGGGGTCTCGTATAAAAGGACGTTCGAAGGATTACTTTTAAGATGTTTAGGGCCTAAACAAGCCTTGGAAGTTATTACAGAAATACATGGCGGGATCTGCGGAGCACATCGAGCAGGCTTGAATATGAGATATGCTATTCACCGTTTGGGTTTCTTCTGGCCAAAGATCTTTGAAGATTGTATACAATTTGCAAGAGGCTGCCAAGAATGTCAAAAGCATGGACAGTTGAATCATTTGCCAGTTATTGAATTGCAAGCTATGGTAAAACCGTGGCCTTTCAAGTCTTGGGCCATGGAAATCATTGGCAAAATACACCCTCATTCATCCAAGCATCATTGTTTCAAATTGGTTGCAACAGACTATTTCATCAAATGAGTAGATGCGGTTGCTTTAAAAAAACGTGGATCAAAATGAGGTAATTGATTTTGTGTTGAATCAGATCATCTATAGGTATGGCATTATGCATTCTTTAACCACTGATCAAGGTTTAGTTCACTGGGGAAAAGTTTATAAGTTTCTTGGCAGAATTTGGTATTCGGATAAATCATTCTTCGCCTTATTATCCCCAAGCTAATGGACAGACAGAGGCAGCCAATAAGATTATTATTGGAATCATAAAGAAAATGGTTGAGGGGAATCCAAGAAAGTGTCATATGCTATTACCTCAGGCCTTATGGGCACACAGAAATAGCAGAAGCTCGGCGACGTGGTTTTCACCATATCAACTTACTTTTGGACAGGATGCTGTATTGCCAGCAGAAATTCAAGTATCATCGGGACGTACAAGTTTTACTACTGGAGATTTCATTGAGGAATATCATCAAGTTATGTTGCAGCAATTGGAAAATCTGGACGTTAACTGACTCCATGCAATCGATCAGATTGTAAGGCAGAATGGGATCACGGCAAAATATTACGGAAAGAAAGTCTTTTATAGGTCTTTCCAATAGGGAGATTTTGTTCGGAAGACCATCTTACCTACGTACAAGAAGATTGATCAATTAGGAAAATGGTCTCCAAACTGGAAAGGACCATTTATTATTCATAAGGAAATCGGAAATTGTGCTTTTATTATAATAAATCAAGAAGGTAAAAGGGTACATGATTGTATTAATGCTAGATATATGAAGAGGTATTTTCCTACGTTTTCAGATAAGAAGAATGCATAACAAATGATTTATTCAGAACCCAAAGATAAAGGGTTCAAACCCAAGATAGGGTTCATTCTTTATCAGATATTGATATATGCGGGGGACCTCCAATGTCTGAGTCAGAATCATCATCCCAGTGGGTGGAAATTAACTCTGGGGCCCTGAATTTAAAGTATGAAGTATTGAGTACTTGACAGAGTTGGTAAGTTCATGAAAGAAAGGTTTGAAGACCTTACCAGGTTAACAGAGGTTTCCGACTCGGAAGAAGAAATTTCTTCTACATCGTGTGGGGGACCTCCCGGACGGACGGCAGCAGGCGGTTCTGCTGCTTGCCTTGCCGCCTCCGGTGGTGGAGGGGCTGCAATCGGGGCGGCTGCAGCAGGGACGGCTGCAATCAGGACGGCTGCAGCCGGGGCGGACGGCTCTTCACCTAAGTGAAAAGATTTAATAATTTCTACTGGCAGTATGGCCATCGGTTGAGCAGTTGCTTCGCTATCTGTTGAAGCCGCTGCCGCCTCCGGTTCGGTTGGTGGTGGTGTCTGCAATAAATATGTCAGATATATATTCTAAGTGTGGAGTGTAAAGTTGTTAAGTATGGGGGGTTTAGAAAATTTACTGGATCTCTTGGGGGTGCTGGCAGAGATTGCCTCCTGGTCGGGACTCCTTCTCGACCACTCATCGGCAGAGAAGGAAGGGATCGCCTCCTAGTCGGGTCCTCCTCCCGACAGATCATCGGCAATGCAAGTGTTAGTGTTTGGACTTGGACGAGAGGAACTTGCGATGGAATAACATAAGTCAATATATGAATAGTTATGAATATGAGAAAAATGGTAATATGAGTCAGTCACTTGGGACTGATCAGCTGACAGGTTTGGTTCGTCGGCCGGGGCAGGGGTCGGCTGGTCGGTTGGTGCTGCCGATGTCGGACCTGATATGAAGAAAAAATATAAGTTAGAAAGTTAAGGAAATATCAAGGTGATTAAAGACTTTTGGAGCATACCTAAACGCGACCGGATCCTTGTTGGCATCCAAGCCATCAAGTAGTCCTCGGCGGCTTGTTGGTCTATTTTGGAAGTTGGGACTACTTGGATCTGGCAAGTTTTTCTCTTCCTCTTTGGGATGCTTGATCTGGCACCCAGGGCGACCGTCTTTTTTCGGGCGCTTATAGGTCGGGCCGCCCCCAACATCAAGATAGGTTGGGGTAGGAGAACACCCAGCAACCGATCCTTTTCCGGGGCAAGCAGAGCCCGTGTGACCGACCACCATTCGCGGAAGTTCTCGACGGTTTTGGGGGGAGGAATGGAAAGGAATATAAGAGTTGGAAGTTATGTAAGTGGCGTGTTGGGTAAGGTAAGAAGGAATGAGTTCGGGAATGACCCGCCCGTCCGAGCTTTGAGGAATTAAGTGGGGACGGGCGATGGGGCCAGGTAAACCTTGGCGGCAGCCGAATTGACGTGCCAAAAATTGGGGCTGATAACTAAAAGTATAAAATATTTTTGGCCTTTTTTATCAATTTTTTTACTAACAAATAAAGATCTGGGTTTAAGAGCAGAATCCCAGGAGAAAGAGTAGGTCGGATGAGGAAGAGGGTCAGATTCGGCCATGGATGAAGACACAGGAAAAGACCAGAAGAGACCGACCGCATAACAAGCATACTTCCTATATACATAAAAACGGGAGTTGCTGCGGTCTTCGGCTAGGATGGCAAAGATGTTGGGGTCGGAAGACTGGAGCTGGCCATGACCTAGGCAAAGTCGGTTAAGAGCTAATCCCAAAGAATGGTCGGATGTTGGACTGATGGGCGGACGACCAAGTTTGAATGCGTCGGGAAAGTAAAGACGGAACCAAAATTTCAGGAACCAAAAAGGGCCCGACGCGGCGGTATCTAATTTTTTACTATCACTATCTACAAGGCAGGTGCTAACCCTAGAAAGACCTTAAAAAAGGTTGGCAAGGAAAAGAGTGCCAAGAGAAAAGAAACGACCTGAAGCTAAATGGATAACCAGATCAAGATGAGAAGAAAGGACGCATTTGGAGGGGGAGACTATGACATACTTACAAAGCTAGAAGAGGAGGAAGGCGACATACTCGCAGTTGGTCAGTGGGGTCCCTGCTGCCCCTTGCTAGTCGGTTGCGAATTTCGTCCAGCCCCACTATTTTACCCCAGCCAGGGACCAACCCAGGTGGTCCGCTATTGGCTCTTGCCCGTCTAGGACGCCCATCACTGGGTCTTCACCCACGATGGGTAGATGGGCAATCATGGCCACATCCATGAGGGTCGGGCCAATGGGGCCTGTTGGCAGAAAGAAGGCCCCCATCTCTGAGTGCCAGAAGGCCGACATAGCCAGGAGCACCTTTTAGTGCAGATGAAATGGAAGAGTGGAAAGGAGTATGGCCTGGTCAATGTGCTGCCGCTTCCACTGCTCCTGAAAGCGCTCTGCTACTCTGTTGTACCAGGTGCGGTAGGGGTCCTTGGGATCGGTCAGGTGTGTCTTTATGCTATCGTTGATACAAACAACATTGTAGTTGGGATTGTTGATGGCGAGGGGGTTCCCTGCTTCAAGTATCTCCCTCATTCGACTGGAATCCTCAAGAGTCGTGCAGTATGGGCGGACGGTTGGAGTCAGCACTTTCGATGCAACATAAGATACTGCTGGGTCGGTTCCATCAAAAGGAAGTGCGGGTACGTATTGGTCGTGTGGGCGATTTTGGTTTATTATTAGGAATTTTTCGCCATGGATTTGGAGTTACAGAAAGGAGATGATAGCAACGATAAAGAAGGTGAGAAGTTTTTCTGAGAATGATTCGCGATAATAGATGCATGAAATGTACAAAGTTAATGGAAGGATTTTTAAGGGGAATAAGGGGTAATGATTTCAGAATGGGGTATTTAAAACCCCATTGATGTGACTGGAAAAAGAGTCAGGCCGGCACTATTGCGTAGACTGCAGACTCCCAAACGTCTCGTCATGCGGCGATCAATGAGTGACGTTTGGAAGTTAGGTGGCGGCAGGCAAGTTGTTGAGTATAAAATTTATAATTAGAGTAATGACCCAAAATAGGAGGGAGAGTGGGTCCGTCATTGGGCCCATCAAGTGGCCAAGGGTTTCTCTGGGCGGAAGGTTCGGAGGCAAGGCGGTCGGTTGGTCAGCCGCCCGTCTTAAGAAGGCAGGATAGGGGTGGAAGTTAGTCGACGGAAGTGGTCGGCTGAGCAGTTGAATTCGATAACTGACAGGAACGACTGATGGGACGGTTAAGACACATGTCAGTTGAGGATTAATGCGTGGGGCGGTTGAGAACAGTTGCAGTAACCGACTAGGTGACGTTTTAAAACGTTTCCTTAGGGATTATTTAATGATTTAGGGGAATTCAAAAAAAAAGAATCTTCAATCAGAAAAAAAAAAAAAAAAAATCAATTGCGAATTTCCTATTGGGGTCATCATTTATTTTCATGCATTTACTATTTTGTTCTGCATAAAAAATTATTTATTCAAGTTGGATAATATTTTTGGACTTTGTTTTGTATTATTGAAAAAATTATTTAACAAATATCAATATTTCTTAAATATTGTTCCAAACAACACAAGAGTATATATGAAAATTATGAAAAAGAATAAGATTTATATGCATTGGTGAAGCAACAAAAATATATGCAAAATGCGGCATTGGATTTGGGGCGAGATATTATTATTATTATTATTATTATGATTTATCATCCATCCCCGTCGGTCCCGTCTGATGTGGCGTGGCGTCCAATGACACCTGTAAAAGCGCCTCCATGCGGAACACCCTCTTCCTTCATTCTTCTCTTCCTCTTCCTAGCTCTATCCATCAATCAAATTAATCATTTCTTCCCTTTCTCTCGGATTCTTTCTATTTTCCTGAAAGCTGCTGCTCGATTGCCGAATATGGAAGAAGGAAGTTACCGGTCGGAGGCGGTGCGTTTCGGCCGTGCGGATGTGTTGTTGGATCTCTCGGATTTGGAGTCGGTCCAGAGTTGCGGGGATATCGCACATTGCGAAGAGAAGGTAAGGCCAGTAATTACTGTCTTTTTTATTGAGCAACGTATCTGGCTTTTGTTTCCTTTTTGTTGCCTGTTTTATGCTCTTTTTCTGAGGTCTGAGTCTGATGGCGAAGGTGTTAAGTTACTTGGAGATTTAGATGTGTATTATTATTAAAGCAGTTTTGTTTCGATGTCTATTTAGATCAGTTTTCATGACCTGCATTACGTGTGGATGTTGTCTGAATTTTCAGTGATCTGTTGGTGATTTGTCTACGTTCTGTTTCATGTACTGTTGAATACGATGGCGGTCGCTGTAAAATGAAGGAAGAGTGCAGAGATTGATATTCTGGAAGATCTTTCTTTTGTATGTGTGTGTAAATTAACTGTATAAGCTTTCTATGATCTGAAATGTGTAATAAGGGAATTAAAGGATAATCAAAGTGTGAGATGTAGGGAGTGACCCTTTGAATTATCTATGCATGCTTTTATCTTGAATATAATAATGTGTTTGAATTCTTTATTTCTGCAGGACGACAACATAAATTGGACAGATGAGAAGCACTGCTTGTATCTTGAACATTTGGAAGTTTCATTTGTTAAACAGCTACACCAGTCAATGGGTTTGGGTGAACATTCCCCAGGCAAAAATAACAAAGGAAACAGCTCATCTCAATTTCAAATGCGGTCTGTCTCTTCTTTTAACACTACTTCCGAGCAGGTCGGCTGTGGGAAACTCATCTTTAATCACTCACTGTTTAATTTTATACTGACACAACTCTCAGAATTAAATTGCTGGGAATTACTTCTATTTATCCAACATATCTGTGCTTACAAATTATTCATGTCTTATTGGCGAATGCAGCAGGGTCAGGGCGGCTGCTGTGAAGTGATCATTGATCATAAGAGATGTACTAATATTTTTTCTCATGGTCTTCGGACGTTTGATGTTGCAGAGCTTATTATTTTAGATACAGAGAAGCATGAGAAAGGTATTGATTTAAAAACTTGTTACTTTACACTTTACAGATTCATCATATATATATATATATAGATTGGTCGTTAAACTCATATCCATTACCCATTTCTTTATGGAAAGCAGGCTTGCTACTAGCTGTTGCTCACTCAAATCAGCTTATAATAATTGAAATAGTATGTAGCATCAATAGACGTTTCACAATTTAATTTCTTCAAGCGAAAAGTATTTGCACTGCACTGCAAATGGGCAACAAAAGTTTCACTATACTTATTGATCAATCATTTCTAACCACATTATAAATTAATAACAATTTGCAGTTCCAGCGGAAGGTACAGGCCAAAACTTCGTGAATGATGATGACGATGATGAAAGGCAAAACAAACAATATAATCACTAATGCATGGGTGAAACGACACGACAGATGAAGAGTGAGTGTCTGCATCTTCAATTGATATATAGTTCAACGTAATTCACTCACTCACTATTGATGGAGTTTCTAATCTGCCAGAAATTCATTCTTTCAATTTCTTCATGCATAAAAACCCAGACATATATGTTGATCCCCCCATGCATTTCAGATTCTGCCGCGACAGATCCTTCAGCAGCTTACGTACGTACAGCTCCTACCTATCGTTGAGTTGAACTAGCTCTTCACAGACAGGGAATTATTAGCAAGCAGGTATGTATGTTTGGAAAGAAGCCTGTTTGTTATGTGTTGTATAGTCCGTTCGATCTGATCGATCATATTAAAGGTGGTATAATTGAAGCAAGCTATATAACTAGATAGATTCTGGAACATTAGTTTCTTTTATCACATTACTGCTCTATAGAGTAGGAAGGAAACCACAAGCCACATACACAACTATTATATATTTTTGAAAATACGAGATGATTTCATACAATTTTTAGAGGATTTTGTGCAATAATATTTAAAACACGAGAGTCTAATACAATTTTTAAACCATAAGAAAATATGGTGCAAACTTTCAAATCATAAGCAATTTTTCTCATCAAGCTTTTAGGCCTTTCGTTCCCGGCCTCATTTTTCTATTACTTCCTCTTCTCTTCTTCACATTACTCACTCATAAAAATTTGAGAAATTTTTTTTCTCATAGCATGGAGTATCATCCAAATTAGAATTGGAATTGGTTTCAATTACTAAGGAGGACATTGCTTACTCTTTCTCTATTTTAACAAACTTAAAATTTTTCTTTACAGGCTACGCATACTTGTTTGCTGGCCTCACTCTTTTTTGAATTGATGGACAATAGAACTCTATATAATCTATCCAAGATTTGGAAGCTATGAAAATAACTAGAGAAAACATATCAACATTTGCACTGCAAGTTGAACAATGACACATACATTTTTTTATTATTGCTCTATAATGGTTTCTTTGTTGCAAAGGGTGTTGTAAAAGTTATTAGTTTTGTACTAATATTGAGATTAGCTAGCCAATATGACATCCTCATGATTTTTCAGCAGCTTGTGCAAATTTATAATTCTCAACTCTGTCTAGTGTTTGCTTCATCGTTTTTCTTGCCTTCATTGACCATTTAGTCTTCATCACTATATTGATGTTGTTACAGGAGGCACCCACAAAATTTCTTCTAACACATACACAATTTCAATATCTTTTGTCACATGGAAGTTCTCGATGAACTTTCTAACCAAAGGTGTGTTGATGTAGTTCATATGGTTCAAAATTAAAATTTCAAACCTTGTTCCAATCCTTTAACTAGCCAACAAATATGGAGGGGTTGAACCTTCGCTCTTTCCGTGTTGAATTATTGAGATATGTTTAAATCGGAATCAAGTATTTGTGAATTTTCATTATGGATTTCTGATTTTGTGTTGGAACGATGGTGTGTTCATGTTCGTGTACGCACCTTTGTGATATTCAGTTGGTTTATTAATTATAGAATCAAATAGGTGTGAATCCGTACACAATGATTCATCCTATGAGTTTACTTATAAACACACATCGGTACATATGTGTATATTAAATGGAAGAAGATCATGTGCTGTGCTGAGGTTTAATTCAACAGTACTGATTTGTTATAAAATTACATCTTTATCTTTATATTAAATATTCATCCTTAGATATTAAATGTGATTAAGAGGTGGGATTAATTTCACCAGTGTTGATTTCTGCATTTGAGCATAGTATCCATGCCGATATTAACATATCTATATATGTTTCTTTATTTTATTTATTCATGTTTTTATGTGTATGAACATAGGTGCAATTCATACCCCAATTTGTGTTGGGTTACAGATATATAGATATATTAATATGGATCCAATATGAATAGGTTTAATCATTATGTGATTCAGCAATATAATTTATTATATGTTATTTTTTATTTTCTTCCTATGACAAATATACATATATGTATATATATATATATATATATATATAGAGTATACTGCCATTGTTATTATTGTTTGAAACAATTTATGGTAATTGCACACATATGTCATGGGCGGACATTTCTGCCCCTGGTTCTCGATCATAATCCGTCCCATATGTGCGAGCCCAATGACCCATATCTTGGTGCAGGTACGTGTTCCGCATGGTTAAGGTACGTGTTATCACATACTGTATGGTATATCCAGGACGTGATGCGCACAGAGGACGGCTGGTCTGAGCCTCAGCGCGGGCGTGGCCTAGGCGCCGGGCGTGTCAACTTCCGGACACGTGACACATATATGTATTTCTTTAGAACCGCACGGTTTTGGCATTGTGATTAAGTTAATTAATCGAATGTGCTTGTTGTATAATCTTCTCTTTAATAAGTCTGCAGCTCTATAATACTAAACAATCACGTCATTGTTATTGAAATTAACTTATGTCAATTCTTGCAACTTTGTTTGTTTATGAATTTATTTATTCTTATTGGAATAATTTATGGATGGTCATGCCCAATTAATTAATAGTTTGTCATGTCATATTTATTTATTTATTCAATTATGGTTGATTTTGTGAATAATCGAATATTTATTATAATTCGTTTAATAGTCCAATTAAATTTGGAATACAGTAGCATGTATTTTCGAAAATATACATTTATGCAAATTCGATTCTAAATATTAATTATATTAAATTTAAAGTCTTTTTGGGTAACATAGTTTTGCCTATGTAATTAATTGCTACTGTTATAGCTTTCATATGTATTGGACATACATAATTTATTTTAAAGTGAATTTAATAAGCAATAAATAATATAATATATTTTATGAATTTGTTGAAAGTTGTCAAATAGACAGATTATTTATATATTATAAGGTTGTGTGTGATTTATAATGGTGCTGATTGATCCAAAGTTAATTCAACGATTAAATAGTTAAATGCATGTCCAGTGGCATTGAATGCGGTGATGATAATTTGGTTGGTGATGGTAATTTAGTTATTTGTGTGTGAATAATAGATCTGTGCGAAAATGGAATATTGTTTGATACACTATTTTATTGTCAACATTTAATTGTCAAAATAAGTTTATGACTCCAATGGAGAGGACTACAGAAGAAGATGTGTATGATTGATGTACGAGAAATGGCAACGGTGGTTGCAATTTGGAGTATATGAACATCTCTCAATAAACTAATCTTTCAAAGTAAATCATCTGTCGATCGACGGAATCATAGTTTGGATGTCCGAGTAATGCAGGGATTAAGGCTGTTATTGGAGATGATTTGGATAATGTAATTTTATTGCTTTCAAAATTCGTTGGGATTTCTGATAGTTATTCGAAAGAGCCGGAAGCTATACACAGGGCATGCAATGGTTTGGCTGGAGCCTGGAGGTGGTGGAGGAGAACATGGTGTATCCTTTCCCAAGGCACAGGAGCGAGGAATGTCGGATTTCTTTCGTGGCATGGATTTAACTTTAAGTTGTTGAGAGATATGAAAAGTAAAGTGAGTTTTGCAGTAGGTGACGAGATTAGTTATTTTCTAAGGCAAGTTGTCATGAGGGAGTATGAAACTATTTGTAGTGAATATTTCTTTTGGAATTTTGTGTACTAAGTAGGGGAAAATTTAAGAGTAAAAACAATAGGTCGAGCCTCACACTCACACCACCCTTGAATGCTTTTTATGTCACAAGTCATTAATTATGTAATACAATGGTGCATTAATAGAGGATAAAAAGTGAGAAGCCTTCCAGTTTTGTACTGGAAGAAAATATATTCAAATACTTAACAAATATTTTATAAAAAATATATTAATATATACGAAAGAATTAACTAATTTTGAGAGCAAATAAAGAATAAAAATAATTAAAATGAAAAACTCTGAAACGTTGGGATATAAAATATTTTTAAATTAGTTTTTTTGTGCCCAGTGAGTTAATTGAAAATGCATTTATCAAACAATAAAATTAACTAATTAGAGCACATACAACAACCTAATTGTCAGATGGTCCTTCACATCTAACAGAAGTATTTTTTTTCTCCAATTTCAAAAATAAATCATATAGTGGCTTTTGTTTCCATGTGAAAAAAGAATAGAACAATGTTAGAAATTTTTGGAGAAAAATAATGAAATTGTATTTCTCAAAGATAGGAGTTTACAATATATATATATATATATAGTAGTGGACTCGGATCTAAATCTAACAAAATAGTATTAAAAAAATATCTAAATCTAACAAAATAATATCAAATAAATATCTAAATCTAACATCCCCTCAAACTCAAGATGGGACAGTAGAGACCAACTTGAGTTTGTCTAAGAGTAATCGGAAGCGGCCTGAAAGAAAAGACTTATGAAGATATCTGTTTTCTGATCTGCAGAGGATAAACATGTTGTCAAATGAAGTGACAATCAAACTCAATATGTTTGGTGTGTTCTTGGAAGGTATCATTTTGGGCCATCTTCATAGCACTCTACTATCACACTGAAGAGCCGTAGCTGCCGAAGCCATAAAAGTTCTGAAGTAGAGTTAGCAAGAACATGATACTGTGACTCGGCACTCGAGCGAGAAACTAAAGTCTGCTTCATGTTGCGCCAAGAAATGAGATAATCATCTAGGAAGAAGCATTAACCAGTGGTCGAACTATCATTTCAAAAATAAAAGTTAATTTAAACTTGGACATGTCAGTTGTGGAGGGATTTTTGGATTAAAGCTATTGTTTGTGCTCTTAATTTATCAAACAGCTACAAATTTTTCAATAAGTTAAAAAGCCCTAAAAATATGTTTGTCAAACACCTTCACTATGTGTATTTTTCCTACATTATTTTTTTTTTCCTAGAAGAAGTAAACTTGAAGAGAAAATTCGATGAATTTTTTCATCACACTATTGTCTTAGCTCTAATCTTTGAGAGGAGATGCAGGATCTTAAAGTGGGGGATTTGCCTCTTAGGAGGAAGGTGGGTTAAGATTTTTTAGGTTGATTATCGGAAAAAACAATTTATTTTATATCTATTATCATAAATAAAAAATATTTGATTTCAAAATAAAAAATTAAAATAAAAAAAATGTGTTTATGGGACAAAAGAAATAAAATAGTTTATTCTTATCTTTCAATAATTTATTGATTATAAATGTAAAATTAAATCAAAATAAATTGTAAATAAGTTTTAAGAGTTAAATTATTGTTATTATATTTATATAAACTTATTCTCATATTTTTATTATAATAAATTTTAAAGTTAATATTCATTAGCAATTGAGTTTTACGATTAAAAGTAATATTTATCTATCATGTAACAACGTAGTGCCTCTGTTATTTAAAATATCATTATTAATTATGTCCTTGATAGGTTGGTGATTTTGGGTGAGTTTTTCCAGTATAGTTTTGGGTTGGTTTATTGTGCAAACAGGGTTTTGGAGGCAGACGCTGACAATGTTTGTTTTTTGTTTTTTTTTTTTTTTGTTTTAATTATAAATATAAAAGAAATTAATAATTTTAATTTTAATAAAAAAATATATAATATATATGTTATTTTGTTAAAAATAAATTTTTTTATAATACAAATAAATAAAGATTTAGAAATATATATGTAGATATAATATAAATTTATAATTAAATTATACAAATTAATATATATTTATATTATTATATTTATAACCATCCAATCAATATACGTCAAAACTCCCTAAATCCCAACCAAACTTAAACACAAAATAAACTCAAAATTCAAATCTATCTCAAAATTCAAATAAAAACCAAACTCAAATTTCCCCGAACCCTCTAAAAAGCCACACCCTTAGTTTTATATATCTATATTGAAAATATGTTATTGAATTAATATTTAATTTACGATAGAATATATAGCATTTGTTTTATTACAATTTCAAATACAAATTATTATTATTCATCTACCCGGTTTTAGTAATAATAAATTATTTTTTATTATAGAATATTATATTAAAATCTAATTTTCAAAAAATTAAATTTAAATATTTTATTTTAAATTAATTTTAAATTACAGTCAAACAAATTTAATTAAAAATTTTAAAGTATATATTTAACTAAAATATATATACAATATCAAGATTAGTTACAAAAAAATAAAATTTTGTATAATATAAATAAATCAAAAATATAAATATAATTAATTTAAATTAATTTATAAAAAATAAAAAAATATATATACATATAAATATATTTGTTATATAAAAATTAAAAATATAAAATTTTAAATAAATTCATTAAAAAAAAAAAATTAGTAATACAGTGCGTTAGTTGCGATGGCCGCCAAACAACACATTTTCCCACCCCTTCCCTTTCCCTTACCCTTTTCCTTCTGTTAAAATCCCTTTCCTGTCCTTCCGCCGTTCAACCAAACCCATCCAGTCATGATGGAGCGGATTGTCCTCCGAGAAGTGATTCGTCAATGGCGGCAGAGCGCCGCCGCGACCACCTTCAAAGGAACTTCCACTTTTGAAAGAAAGTATTGCCATTTGATGTCTAACGCCGACGAGGGAGAGATCAGTAGAAAAGAGTACAATCACGACCGGTGGCTAATATTGCCTCCGTTCGATCCAGCCTTCGACGGCTACTTAATCGAAAAAAAAATTTTGGGCACGTCAGTTAACTCGAATACGACGGTGCTTAAATGGATTCTCAAGTGCTGTCCTCAATTTCCCAGGAGTTTTGTCCAGAAGCTTTTCCGCTTAAGACAGGTCCGTTTCACTGCCACGGGATAGAGTCATCGTTAGCCATAACTACTGCATAATAGTCGCTTGCAAATGAATCCTGCCGAAAATATTATTTATTGTGAGTGATTTTTGTTCTTTTGGTTGTGCATTCGGAAGTGAGTTGCTTAAACCTCAGGTATTAGGAAATGGATTAAATAGAGTGATAAAGTAATTAGCGTGATATGGTAAAGACTGACAGTAGAGAGATTACCAATTTCTGTTGTTTTTGCATCGCTAGTGATTTTCTAAAACAAGAGCAAGTATTGTTTGAGAGCTCATACATTCTTTGAACTAAGAATAGCAATATGACTTTCAAGCGAAAGGTTGCGTCAGCACATCCACAAGTGTATGCTGAATGGATATTGTTGTTCTCTGTATTTTTCTTCAGGTTCGAAAAGAATGTTCCAAGACTGAAGCTAAAGAACAACGACCAAGAAGGGTAAAAGTTCCCACATTTCTATGAAAATGGAAGTTGTGCATGTTCTTGTTTTCCTAAGCTGTTCACCTGGGCAAACCACTAATTGTATGGTATTTGTTATGCTGTTTTAAGGTAGGAGCTAAAGATCTTATAGATGTTGGTGATAGAATCTTCCTTCCTAAATCTGTTGATGGAAAATTTGCTTCGTTAACAGAAGAAAAACAGGGTAGTTCCGATGAGAAGGAAATGAAGTATGTCCGTAGCCTTGAGTTGTATAAGGTACTGAGGTCCAAAAAAATTGTTGTTTGGTTCCCATGCAGCTAGCTACCACTGTTTCTGCTGTAAGTAATATGTCATGTCTTAGTACTAATAGGCTAATTATCTAGCTGCAATATTTCAGGATCCGGCCATAATTGTCATCAACAAACCACCTGGAATGCCTGTGCAGGTATATAAAGGTGTCCAGTTCTCCAATCTGAGAATTTGGAAAGTGTCTGCTTTCACATTGTACAGAGTATTATTTTTGCAGGGTGGCCTTGGAATAAATAAGAGTTTAGACGAGTTAGCTTCCAACTACTTGAGATATGACTATGCAGAATCTCCTCGCCTGGTAATAAGTTTTACCAGTTCTGCTCATTTATTAATATTGTTGTTATTATTGTTATTATAATTTTGGAATATGAAATAAAAATTCAGTTTTCAATTATTTCCCCCAACAAGTTGTTCCTTTTCCTTTCCAACTTAAGTTTTAGGCAGAAAAAGAATTTTTAGAGTTGTTCCTTAATTATATATAATTCCCATATCCTTATTTAGTAAATGACCCATATGTTGTAGCTAACAAGCTGGTTCTTAGGTGCACAGGCTTGATAGAGACAGCAGCGGCGTATTAGTCATGGGAAGGACACAGCAGAGTGCTACCATCCTGCACTCCATTTTCCGCAATAAAACATCTGAAGCATCTATTGATGTCTGTAGTTTTCCTACTTTCTCTTGTTAGATGTTTGTGTATACTATATAGTAATTTATATTCCATGAATGTGTTAAAGATTATATTACTGTTGTTCAATTAGTCCATTACAATTCATCTATCAATGGTATGCTTCAAAGTTCAAGCCCACTGGGATCATAATTTCCTGTCTTTCAGATTCCTGACACCAAAGAAATCCTGCAAAAGAGGTATTTGGCTCTGGTTATTGGATCTCCTAGAAGGAAAGAAGGAGTAATCTCCATGCCATTAGCGAAGGTGAATTTTATCATTCAACCCTTGTTGGCATTTCCTCAATATAAGTAAATTGATTATCTAATTAATCCTTTGCCAAAAGCTCATGGGTTGCTTGATATGTCTCTAATTTACTGTGGTCCATATAAGTCTTTTTTATGGTCTATGTTCCATATAAGTCCTAGCTCTTTGTATGAGGATGGTTTGGCAGGATAAGATAACTTTGAAGTTAATTATGTAGATAATGTGTATTTTAACAGTGCATTAACTAATAACTCATCGACAAAACTATTATATTTATACATATAGTTATATGGAAATGTCAATAATTTGAACTTTATGATAGTAATGCCTTAATATTTCGAGGCATATGTATAGTATTTGTATCCAAAAAGTTTTATCAAATGATGTTATGATCAATTTATGACAATTAATGTAATCATATTCATTCCTGCGTGTTTTGGAAATGCAATTGCTCTATAGATCTAAATATTCCGCTTTTTCTTACAAAACCAAATTATTCTTTGGACTTTAATCACACATTGCACTAGCTTAAAATAATAACTGGAAAGAAAATGTGTTGGCCTTCTTTTCGGTGTGTGTTTTGTGTTTTGGTGTTTTTTAGGTTAAATATAGTGGTTGGATGTGATGTTTTACATGGATAAAAATAATGTGGGATGTAATATTTTTGGAGGGAAATTGAGATATTAAATAGTATTAAATAGTTTTAAAACAATTGTAAACTGAACAACCGGACAATATTATTTGGATGCAATAAATATCTGGGTTTATATAATGTTATACTAGGCATATTAAAGATTATGTTATTATGCAGCTGACCCCATCCCTTTGCATCATATTTCAATCTTTAATATGCAGGTGGTAGTTGGTGATGGAAAGTCTGAGAGAATTACCACAGCTGACTATTCCCATAAAACATCAGCGCAGCTAGCTGTTACAGAGTATCGAGTGATATCATCTTCACCACATGGTTAGTCTGGAAGCTTATCTTTAAAAACTTGTATTAATTTATCTAGAGTAAGTTATTATTGGTAAGCGGATTGAATTGAGCACAGCTCTAAGTGCAAAATGATTGAGCCCGATCAGGAATAACAATGTTTTGTGTTCTAGCTTGAGCCAAGCACATGAAATATCAGTTTGAGTTGGAGCAGGAGCTGATTTAGGGTATAAATAATGGAGCTAAATTGAGATCACTTGGTATAGTCTCAGTGCAGAACTCAATACCGAGTAAAGTAAACAAGAAACTCATGAGCTTTTATGAATTTGAGCTGTTGACTTTCTTTACATTCAACCAATTACTCATAGTCTAGACTTGGAGTAGAATCGAACATCGATTGCGTGACCTGTTCTGACCCTCTAGAAATGATATTAGTTGCACAAGTGAAAATCTTATTGGATTTCGCCCAAGACTTCCATTCATTTTTCTGTAGATCATTACTTAAAGCTTGAAGGAAATTCAGCTGTGCCTATGTTTTACAAACTATTTAATCTTCTATTTCCACTTATATAAAATCAAGAGTACCCAGTCCCCTGTTCTCAATGATTCAGCTAATTACAGGTTTCACGTGGCTGGAATTGTTTCCACACACCGGAAGAAAGCACCAGGTTAGGATAATGATGAACAATATAGAAATGCATTAATATGGATATTATTTAGAACTCTTATTGATTCAAGCTTAAGAATTGAGATTCATTTTTCAATGTGGCATCAAACAGCTTCGTGTTCACTGTGCTGAAGTACTCGGAACACCAATAGTTGGTGACTACAAGTACGGGTGGAAATCACACAGAAAACTGGGGCACACATTCTACTCAGAAGGCAAAGCATCCAAAGTTAGAGGAGGGAAGTGGCCCGATGGGCTCGAGTCGGAGAGTGGCAGTATATGTGATAAACAATTTCGTCTACATCTTCACTGTAAGGAGATTATCCTTCCCGATATTTCACAGCAGGTCAATAATATGCAGGGTGCGAGTATCAAGTTGAATGCTCCTATATCAGCACACATGCAAAGAAGCTGGGATTTGATGAACTAAGAATGCCCTGCACTTGCTTATGAATTCATTTCAGGTTTGAACAGAATCCCATTCTTTTATAGTTGGACTTTATAGAACACCATCAATTTAATCTCTTTTTCACAATTCTTGATTAGAGCAATCAAGAATTCAAAAAATATGGAAATTATACAAATTGGTTGCAGAGTCGTTGAATGCAGATTCAAGGTCAGGACTGAGTATTTACTGAAACTCTGCATTCAAATAAAAACAAGCTTCTCCATATCTACCATTTTATCACTATACTCCATTAGTTCAATTTTCATTTTAGTATGTCCAGTAAGATTTACTACTTCAAAATATATTACGAGACTCAATCAAAACTCTTTTATATATGACTTTATCAAATCAAACATCTATTTTTTATGTTTTTATATTATACTAAAAATCAATTTTACATTCAAAACATCACATCAACACCTATTTACATCACATCATACAACTATTCAAATTCAAATTTTTACTATTCAAATCCCAACTCAAAATTCAAACCCTCAAACAAACAAACTTTTGTGTCCAAGGTAACACGGACACTTTTAGTGGAGCAGAGAAGATAATAAAATAATCATAATTTATTATTAACTAATTTAATATTATTATCTTAAATATCATATCTCAAATCAAATGTATCATTTAAAGTGAAACTCAGAGAGCATTGTTTTATGATGTTTTTGCTCATAAAAAGTGTTGAAAATGCGGATGCGAATCAAAAAATTATTGATGCATAAGAAATAGGACAAAACAAGAAAAGTACACATGATTTACTTAGAAAGCCAAAAAAATAAAAAATTACAGAGTGATAATAAAGTTACTTAAGGGTGTGGTAGTTTGGGGGTTTGGATTTTGGATTGGAATTTGAATAGTAAAAATTTTGAATTTGAATAGTTGTATGATGTGATATAAATAGGTGTTGATGTGATGTTTTTAATGTAAAATTGATTTTTAGTATAATATAAAAAATAAAAAATAAGTGTTTGATTTGATTTTTTGGGGGAAAATTTTTGGATAAATAGTAGAATTTTGACAAAATTCTACAAACGAACACACCCTTGGATATTTAATGATTACAATAGTGCAAGTTCTTATATAAATGAAGAAAATTTGAAGCTCCAAACAAGTGTCCAAATGTACAAAGACACCCAAATGGCACATAAAATGCATCCAAACAAACACTAAAATGGCATACAAAGTTGCTAGAATAAGACAACGTTAATAGAATAATCAAATGAAATCAATCATTTTCCAAAAGAATAATCAATCAAATGTAAACAACTGTTTGCTCAAAAGTCACCAACTTCTTTATTTTCAAGATCAAGAATTATATTTTTCAAACCCTAAATAATCTCCTTAAATACTTCTAGTAATCCCTCCTTGCTAAAAATACAATAAGACTGCCTAAAAACTAAGGAGTAAGTTCAACTCAAAATATAACATTTTAATAGAAAAAACAAATAAGCCTAAGCAATCCCATCATCCATATCTAAGCAGCGGTCGAGGCTTCACTTTTTTTTTAATCTTAACTTCATACTTTTTTCGATCTTCCTCTCTATCAATATCATCCCTTTTCAAATCAACCTTGTCCCCAAGGTTGAAGTATCGGAAATGGAAATAAGTTGCGCTTAGCCAAGTTGTTTCATTGTTCGATTGTTTCACCCACTTAAGCAAACTTTGATCTTCTTCTTGTTCTCGTTTATCATGGGCTTGATCCAATGTTTTTCAGATGATTGAATTACGAGAGAGGGTACCATCACCCACCTACACTACTTGGCACCCTTCTACTCAAAGGATATAGTTAGAGCTCCCTAATTAGTTTGAACCTCACCCAATGCGGCTAACCAAGGTGCACCAAAAATAATATCTACACCCTTGAGGGGAAACACAAAACAATCCGTTGTTACCTCGAGTATCATGGATAAAGCTTCGAATTCCTGTCTTTGTCCATCCCTTAATTGAACTACAAACTTTTTTGTACGATCATGTAGTAGTTGTAGAGTGGATATTGAGGAAGAAGTTATAAAATTGTGACTAGCGCCACTATCAAACTAACGCCGCTATCAATTAATATTTTTACATTCTTTCCTCACAAAACTCCATCCAGCCACATAGTCCATGGACTCGAGAAGCCCTCTATAGAGAAAAACGCTAAGATTCGGTCTTCTATCAATGCATCTTCTGGTTCTTCCATCCGAATTTCCTATCTCGTTGGTACATAATATTCGAATTTTTGAAGGTCTAAAACTTCTTTTCCTTCTTCAACTATCATGACTCACAATTTTTTTTTGGGGGGGGAAGAGGGGGGCATTCATGTCTTGGAGTATATGGTTTCTTGCATCGTAAACATAGTCCATTGGCTCGCAACTGAAGTTTATCCTCAATGTCTAGAAAACTCCATGGTCGTCTCTAAGTCCCTGGGCCAAAGAAGAATGAGCTAACTTCGAATCGGATCTAGACCTTTCATGAAATAGCGTAGATAGTGCGCATCTGTCAAACCTAGAGCTTGGCTAGACAATTGAAGAAATAAAATCACGTAGTCATCCACTGATACTTCAAGTTTAATGTCTGCAATTGTTCAGAAGGATTACCCTCGAAATCCTTACAAATATAGCCAACAATGCTTGCAAAAATTCATCCCATGTTAGCCTTAGCTTTCGAGAATGCAACCAAGTTGACCAATATAACAAAACCTCTCCTATGGCCACCGCTAGTGCAGGCACCTTCATTAATCTTATGCGACTTTCTTGTCTTTCGGTTGCATCAGCACAATTGCCTGAGGCAGCAACATGTTAGCCTCTGTTGCCGTGCAACCCTTATACAGTGACTTGGATTAAAACAACTCAATCCAATACACTTAAACTACAACATAGGTTGAAACAACAAAAATCAAAGCCAACTTCCTTTAACTACAACAAAGCTTCAAACAAAATCAAATCAACTCAATACACTGACACTACAACTTAGGATCAAACAACAACTCAAGCGTTATAGATAGAATACAATATTGCTTGAAACACATTGAAATCCAACAGTCAGAACACACAACATGCATAATCATGCACTTTAACAACACTTACTTGCACGGCTCTAGGTCTATTGTTTTGGAGTTGCAACATTTTAACTTCTTCCTCCAATTTATTCATATTATTCATGTATTTGTCTTGTTAATTCATCACCATCGTCGTCATCATCAACAACAACAACAACAACATTCTTTCTCTTTTGAAGATTTTCGAGCCGGTGGACTTTACAAACCAATGTAATGATCACATCCTTATATCTCAAACGGCTTCTTCATTCCACCACTCGAATACACCACAGTAATTTACACCATTCTACGAATGGATAAAAAATTCTGCCGATTCCAAAAAAAATCTAGCTTCAATAAGAAAATTTCAAAAAAAAAATTCTAAAAACTAAAATAAAAGAATCGGGTAATTGAAGCAAGCTTTATATCTCCTACCCGTATTACTCGTGCTCCACGAAGTAACCAATGGCAGTTCATGTCCACATTTATACATCAACCTGGGAATATCCTCAACCAATGACTTTGAAATTTGTCCAAGATGAAAACGTCAACCTCATTATCGAAGTTATCGGGACAAAAATCGGTCATTTTCTCCTTTGATGGAACTCGATTTGGGATGGTATTGCACGAGAGCTACTAGGGCTTGAACGGGATTGCTAGAAATGACTGTCTAGTGTCACGGACCGAAATCCGTGACCGAAGATGACCGAGAGAAGAAGCCAAAACTCGGAGGCTAGTCCGATACTTTGTAAATAAAACTAGAACTTGTATGGAGTTGTTGGGGGTTGGTAGATAGTTGGTGAAAGATGGTAGGTAGGGGTTGGTAGATAGTTGGTGGGAGATGGTTGGTGAGGGTTGGTAAAAAATGGTTGGTAGATAGTTGGTGGAAGATGGTTGGTGGGGGTTGGTGGATAGTTGGTGGGAGATGGTTGATGGGGGTTGGTAGATGGTAGTTAGGAGATTATGAACTTGTATAAATAGGTGGTAGTGCTCATTTGTAAATCATCAAGTTGAGAGCAATAAACATCTACTTTCCCTCACTACTTCCTCTCTCTACGATTGTTGAGTGTTCTTGAGTGTTCTTAGAAGTGTCCAAAGAAAGGTTGTACTAGCAACCTCTAAGTGTCGGGAAGTTGCTAGGCCGCACGGAAAGTGTTCGAGGAACAACTAGGCGGTCCGTGACAAGTGGTATCAGAGCTTCGTTCGAACCGAAGTCAGTGAGGGATGACTAGTGAAGGGTCCAACTTGACGAATATGAACGAGGGTAACAACGATGGTGTCAATGAAGGGAAGCACCACCGAAAGTGCAAACGTTGTCCTTCTGTGGATGTCATAAGCGCTTTTGATGCAAGGCTGGAGCGTGTGGAAGATTTCCTCGGTAGGAATTCTGAAAGGATCGATGAGGTCGATCAACGTCTCGATGAGGTCGAGAAGGAGATGCGTGAGGATTTGACGAAGTCTCTCGCAGAGGGACTGGAACAGTGTCGCGATGGGACGAAGGAAGTGACGAGGTCACTTGGTGCCGAGATGGCCAAGCTCAAGGAGGAGGTGGCAGTGTGTCGCCTCGAGTTGGCCCGACGAGAAGAGGCGGCTATGGTGGAGCCGTCCGTGATGCAAGAGGAGCTTGCAACACTTAGAGCGGCAATTGCGGAATTGCAAGCTCGTGGCATGACCAGAGGAGTAGCGGCCGCACCTAGAGTGGAGGTGCCACGTCCGGAGTACTACTTAGAAGTTCGGAGAGGCCGGGTAATTGATATGTTTATTTTCGACATGGAACGTTACTTTAATGCGGTAGGGGTCGTGGGAGATGCGGCCAAGGTGCATACGGGGTCGTGTTTCTTGAAGGACTCGGCACTAATTTGGTGGAGACGTAGGAGTGAACTAGCCCAAAATGGTGAGGCGATCACGATGTGGGCAATGTTTAAGTCCGAACTCAAGGCGGAATTCGAACTAATGAGGGCCGAGACTGAGGCGAGGGCCAAGATCCGTTGGTTGACACATCGGGAAGGAAATTTGAGAGAGTACATTGATGAATATGCCAACTTACTACTCGAAATCCCATCGATGACGCTAGAAGAAGCATTATTCAGGTTTACCGAAGGATTGAGGCCGTGGGCCAAGGAGCGGGTTGTGGATAAGTGCCCGGAAACTGTGAATGAAGCAATGAAATATGCTTCACGATTGATTGAATTTCAACGGAGGGAACCATACAGGAGAGACGATGGGTGGAGAATGACATCGGACAAAAGTGGGGGAGATACGTCGAGATCCGCCCCACGGCCGGACAAAAGTGGGGGAGATGCCCTAAGATTCGCCCCACAACTCGAAAGAGAACGTCAAGCACCTAGGGCTGCAATGAGAGATTTCTTCAAACCGGGATCGAGGTATGAGGGTTGTTTTGTTTGTCAATCAAAAGAACATTTTGCAAGGGATTGTCCGAACCGATCAAATATTGCCGCGGTGACCGAGGACACTAACCCGATAGAAGAACGAGTGGCGTGCATGAAAGCAGAGGGTGATGGCGTAAAACATCAAGGACGGATGTACATGAATGTCGACATCAATGGGCGCTCGTACTTGTGTTTACTCGACCCGGGGGCAAATGCGAATTACATGAGCAAAGAAATAGCTCACGAGTTGGGGTTGCAATGGGTGTCAACGGAGGGTCGATTCAAGGGAGTAAATAGTGCATGGACACGTTTGACGGGAGTGGCAAAGGACGTACCAATTCAAGTCGGAGATTGGAAAGGTATGGTTAATTTCAATGTTGCCCCTATTGACGATTATTTGGTGTTCTTTGGCATGAGATTTGTCGAGCAAACCAAGTTAGCAATGATACCGCACAAGGACAAATACACTATTATGGATGGAAGCATGCCATGCGATATCACTGTTTACCGGGAGAAGGAGTTGACACCAAAGCAACTCGAAAGAGGATTGAGGAAAGAAGACCCAACGTTTGCGGCTATTTTTAGCAACGAGAACCTCCTTGGTTACGAGGTCGAGGAGGCCATTACACTACTGAAGGAATTCAAGGATGTGATGCCAAAGGTGTTACCGAAGGGGTTACCACCTCGACAAGCGGTTGACCCCGCCATCGACTTGGTGGAAAGTGCAAAACGAGTATCTCGACTACCACAGCGGGCGTTGCTCGACGAAACAATCGAGTTGGAGAAACAAATTGGGAAACCTTTGGAAGCAAAGTTCATTGTCCCGTCAAAGAGCTCTTTAGGTACACCAGTGTTCTTTCAACTGGAGAAGGATAAGAGTCTCCTCAAGTGTAATAACCACGGGATGCAGAACAAGGTGACAATTCAAGAAGGCGATGAATTAAAGACGGAAATCACTACGAGATGGAGTGTAGTAGACCATGTTGGACACTTGCGGAATGTGTTGCGAGTTATACAAGAAAATCAACTCTATGTCCGGAGAGGGTTTGAGATAGACGAGGTCGGAATCTCAGGATACATCGTGGCCGATGGAAGAATTCAAGTGGAGTCTGGGAAGGTCAAGACGGTCATAGAATGGGAGGTGCCCAAGTCAACTATGGAGAAAGACGAGAGTACCGAGAAGAACCCATTCGAGATCATGCCCGGTTTCCAACCAATGACTTCGAGAGACTTGGTGAGTACGTACAAAGGACCGAGTCCATGGGTGTTCCACTTTGCCAAGGGTTGGCCGAGTCGGGCAAAGGTGATGCGGCTATATTCAGAGAGATCCCAAAGATGCAAGAAGGGGGACCGAAAGCGTGGGTTTCAAATATCCAAAGAGAGACTTACCGTTGGTACGATTCTATCAACATGGGCGTATACGAGAAGTGCACAAAGGGTCAACGAGACGATATGAAGGCCCGTTCCCGATCATGAAGAAAGGAGGCAAGGTAAAATACAAGGTGGAGCTACCCGAGGGCTTGTCCCAACTCCACCCGGTATTCTATGTTGGTATTCTTGAGCCTGACTCTACGAAAGATCGGGACCCAGATCGGAATATATCGACAAGAGCACCACCCGGGATGCAGACAACGTATGACAAAATAGCTGAGGGAATATTGATGGATCGACTAAGGTGCCGCAAGAAACATCCGCCCTCGACGGAGTACTTGGTGAGATGGAGAGGCTTGCCCGAGACTAAGACGAGATGGAAGCCGGATGAGAAACATTGGCAATTCAAAGACTTGGTACATGAATTCGAGGCATTGAGGACAATGCCTTCATCAAGTGGGGGAGAATGTCACGGACCGAAATCCGTGACCGAAGATGACCGAGAGAAGAAGCCAAAACCCGGAGGCTAGTCCGATACTTTGTAAATAAAACTAGAACTTGTATGGAGTTGTTGGGGGTTGGTAGATAGTTGGTGAAAGATGGTAGGTAGGGGTTGGTAGATAGTTGGTGGGAGATGGTTGGTGAGGGTTGGTAAAAGATGGCTGGTAGATAGTTGGTGGAAGATGGTTGGTGGGGGTTGGTGGATAGTTGGTGGGAGATGGTTGGTGGGGGTTGGTAGATGGTAGTTAGGAGATTATGAACTTGTATAAATATGTGGTAGTGTTCATTTGTAAATCATCAAGTTGAGAGCAACAAACATCTACTTTCCCTCACTACTTCCTCTCTCTACGATTGTTGAGTGTTCTTGATCGTGTTCTTGAGTATTCTTAGAAGTGTCCAAAGAAAGGCTGTACTAACAACCTCTAAGTGTCGGGAAGTTGCTAGGCCGCACGGAAAGTGTTCGAGGAACAACTAGGCGGTCCGTGACACTAGGATATTTTAACACAATCACGTGTCAGGCACGTGTTCTTTCCGTCAACGGCACTAACTAATTATCCTCTTAATTGACGGAAAGACATTGATTAGTGGATTATATCTAGGGACAATTTCTGTCAAAATTAATAATATGATAATATATAATGAAAAAAATGATTAAATTAAATTTAAAATTATTTTTTTAAAAAATATATATATTTTTTAATTTATAATGACGTTAGTGTTATTTTATCAAAAATTTTGCAAATTTGTACTATTCCTTATATATATATTTTTTTTAATTATCAAATCAAATACTTATTTTTTTATTTTCTATGGGTAAAAATTATTTTAAAAATTAAAATATCATATCAATAACCATTTATATCGTCCTATACCACTATTTCAATTCAACTTTTTTTTTTTTTATTATTTCAACCCGAATAGAAAATCTCAACCCAAACAAACACACACCTTGAATATATATTTTTTATTTTGAAATGATGGGATGGTGCCTAACAACTTTTGAAAAAACATTCAATTGTAGACCGAATCTACAGTAACTGTACAGTGAAAATACATTAGAGTCGACCAAAAAACACACCCTATGTAGAATAATGTTAGAAATTTTACCCTACATGTGTATCTTGACTTTTTGACATTGTGTTGACGAAGGTTTAGAGTTTAGAGTATACATGTGTATATATAGTATAAACTTATTAGATTGTTTTAGTGAAAAAATTTTAATATAGCTAATTTTAAAATAAAATAAATTTTTTTTTATGAGATTAATATCTTAATAAAAGATTGTTACAGTCACCAAAACAATTTTTATTAAAGAATATTTTTGAGAGGACGACACTTACTCTGCTGAACTTTAATCCGTCGGATTATCTTTTAGTTGTACGATGGAAATAAGTAAAATGAGAAAAATCGTAAATCATCTCTTTCAATATTCTAACCATATCTTCGAAGAATATTACTCTCAACTTGATATGCTGGCAACTACAACCTTTTTATTTTTATTTTTTTATATTCATCTCATGGTCGTGTAGATTGGATTCAGAGGCGGATGTATGTGGGGGCAAGGAGGCTCCAGCCCTCGTCCCCCACCCCATCCTTTTTAATTTTTAATTTTTTTTTATTTTATAATATATAATATAAAAAAATAAATAAATCAAAAGAAAAATTGCTAAAAATTGATAGAGTATTTATGTGAAAATTTAAATTTTGAGTAATAAAAAAAAATTATATCATAATACTTGTTTGATGCTATAAAAATAGATGTGAATAAAAAAGTAATAAACAATAATTAAAAAAAAATTTCAAAAAATTCTCCACCAAATACATAGGAGATGATATTTTTAAGAGATATTTATTTTAATAAATATTTTTACTATTTATCAATTTTATATAATACAAAATTTATCCGGTAATATGCAGTTGTCACTGCAGATTGATATTTTGCAAGATTTTTAAAATATGATAATTTTATTGATAAAATTATTGGGTAACAAATAGATGATGATTGTTTCAAAATTTGAAAAATTAGCCCCCCTTTCATCCCGGTCTGGTTCCGCCTCTGATTGGATTGTTATTACCTCTACTTTGAAATGATTTGTTGCCATAAGCGGTTTCTTTGTTCATTCTTTGTGTTTGATAAATTTGTTTTCTTTTATCTTTTTTTGTTAGAATGAAGAAGGAAATTAGTTTGTGACATAGAGTGAAATTTTCAAGAATGATTTGGCATTGATTTGAAATTTTTTGTGTGCACTCTGAATTTTGTTATTATTTTATTTTATTTTTTTAAATTATTATTGTACTATTTTGAAGTAATTTTTGTGCTCTTTATGTTATCATTATATTTTTTTGTAATTAATATTATATTTTTGTAATGTTCCTCCGTTCTAAATCCTGCAACATTTGTTTGTCTCAAACTCACTGGAATTTTTTTAAATTTAGAAATAATTAATAATATTTATATATATATTAATATGCATTTCACTTTTAACTTATCACATCACCTAAATAAAAAAAATAAATAATCATTTATCTCTCCAATCGTATAATTTAATATCCAAATTATCTCAAATTATCATATTCAATATTTTCTACCTAAATTCTTGTATCAAATACAAAAATTACACGATGTTTGGGACAGATGAAATAATAATTATGCTTTCGTATTGTAATAATTATACTTTGTGATATAGTTATTGTGTTTCATATTATTTTCTTGAATATCTGTCTCATGTTTTTATTTTTTTAAGACCATCAAGTCATTACTATCAGTAAGATCCCATTTAGGGTTGACAAACGGATTAGGTCGGATCGAGTTCAGGTTCGGGTCAGCTTAAACAGGTTACAAAACCCTTGACCTGAACCTTACCCATTTAATTAAATAGGTTGATATTTGCAACCTTAACCTGATTTTTTATTAATCGGGTCAACCTGAATCTTACTCGTATAATCCGTTTAAATTTAAAATATTTAAATTTTAATTTAAAATTACAATTTATACTAACAAAATTTTTAAATGCATAGTATATATACATATTAAAGCAAAAAATTATTTATTCATATCATGAAACCGATATTCAAAAATTGAATTAACAAACACTATATAATAGTACACAACACAATTCTTTATTTTTTATTGTTTATTTTTATAAAATTGGTCATAAATATTGAATTATATTGATAAAATTTAAAAAATATATTTAAATTTAAAATAATATTAATTAAACAGGTTAGACGAGTTATTTTGGGGTCGAAAATGTGGACCTTAACCTGACCCATTTAATTAAATGGGTTAAACGGATTTGACCCAATTATTAATTGGGTCAAAAATCAACTCAAACCCAACTATTTCATATCAGATTCGGGTCAAATTATCAAATCGGGTTAATTTTTGCGGGCCTAATCCCATTGTCATAGCAATCTCTTCACCCATGTCCCATTAGCACCGCCACATAATCTTTCAACCATAACCCCACCTTCTGTACCAATTACATCAGACCTTCTCATAAACATGAAGGTGACGATCATATTTATATTTTATTATAATGCTATTTCATAATTAATATTATAATATAATTATTATGCTTTCATGATATAATTAATGTTTTTGGTATCATGTTATTAAATTGTTTCTTTTATACTTCCCGTCCCATAACAAAGTATCCATTTTTCCATTTTAGTTCGTCCCATAATAAAATATTCATTTCCTTTCTTTTTTAGTAACTGTACTATCTACCTAATATTACAAATACCCTTACAACTTACAATATATTACACAAGTGCGTGCAAAAAGCAAATGGACAGTTAGTTTCGGGACAGAGGAAGTATATTATTACCATCTGTTTTCATAATTAATATGTGCTCTTATAATATAATTATTGTATTATTCATATTATTTTCTTAAATTGTTTCTTTATCCAACTTTTTTTTTTTTCTTTTGGAACATAGGTTAAAAGCACTAATATTAAATAATCAGATCACCGAATGCAGTAATAAAAAGAATTCTAGTCTTGTGTCTATAAGATGATGTTGTGCTCTTTCTTAGCAGCGTTTTTACTATAATTTCAATATTAACTATTTTTCAAAAAACTTACAAATTTAATCTTATTTATTATTGGCTATTAGATGTTAAATCATGTAGAGGCCATATTGATTTTTCACATCAGCACACGTATTTCACACCGCACATGCTATGTGCTGTTTTTTTCAATAAGAACAAGTGTGTTGTTATATATTTAATCAGCACCATGTCGATACAGAACGTTATTGAAGTGCTATTTTTTTTGGACAAAAATATGTTTAAATAGCTCTTTGCTTATATGTTAGATTACAAATTCATTACAAATCATCGAACTATCTCTTACGGAACAACTCACCCAACTTTTATTATGATTATTATATCTAGCAGACAACAACATTTTAGATATTACTCCCTCCGTCCCAAATACCGTAGACACTGTATTTTAGGAGGGATGTAATTAGTAGATAATTAAAAAAAATACTAATCGAGTATGTTTGTTTGAAGGTTTGAATTTTGAGTTGAGACTTGAATTGTAAAAATTTTAAATTTAAATAATTGTATAATATAATATAAATAGATATTGACGTAATATTTCGAATGTAAAATTAATTTTTAGTATAATATAAAAAATAAAAAATAAATGCTTAATTTAATATTTTTGAGAGGAAAAAATAAATTAAAATAGTGTATTTAAAATCTAATCCAAAAACAAACACAGCCTTCGTGTATGCTGCATTGATAATATCTACTATAAATATACTTTATATATATATATATATATATATATTGCTTTGGAAGAAAAGAGATAAGGAAGCAATTTTAGAGGTGGTTCGATTTCAAATCAAAGAGCTAAAGGACAGAGAGATGATTGTGGCACTCACTATATATAATCATAGGAGAAAATGATGATAATCAAGCCATATTTGAAATCCTAATATTTTGTATATGTATATGGATGGTTACACCACACCAGAAGGAACCAGACAAAGGCATGGAATGTCGAGATCAAGATCAAGATGAAGATCAAGAAGCAGGATTTGGTGCTCTGGGCTTGGGCTTAACCTCCACTTCGTTCACGCTGCGCACGAATATGGCATCCGGATGATGCCTGCAACCATCGAATATGACTTAATTACCATATATATATATATATATATATGTACTGATAACTCATATCTATGTGTGCTTGTTTGTTCAAAGCTACATACGGTTTATCTCCCTCTTCATATGTATAGCTCGATGCCACAGCCAAAAGTCTGCCGTCTCTGCTGAATGACAATGCTGCAATACTTGTCGGGTATTTCGCATACTTGCAGGACAAATTCATTCATCAGTACAATATATTTATCATCTATGAATTGCTAGCTAACAAACAAAAGAATTCACAGCATAATCTTTTACCTGATACAGCCTCTTCTTATTGTTTCCATCCCACACATTAACAAAACCGTCGCAACCTCCAGTGGCAAAAGTTCCATATCTACATTGCAATAAGTTTTGCAAGATTAACAGACTCCCATCTTATGGTTTATTTAAATAAAATAAAAGAAATTAATGAAAACAACAAACTCGGCGGCAGTACTTACATTGGGTGAAAGGCAATGGCATTTACAGGGTAGACAATGTCCCTTCCATCTTCTGACTTCCGATGGCATTTAAATGCGTACCTAAAAATGACAAATTCATTACACAGGAAAAGTATGGGTTTAGTAGAAAGATATGCAAGCAAAAATAATGAAACATGTTATAATTTCAATGTACTTTCATTTCTTCAGCATTTTACTATCAATATTATATATAGGATTCTGGTTTTTCTTTTCTTCTTTGTATTATATTAGTTGCAGATTCAGAGAATGATAATCTGTTCTCAGCACATACTTACAAATCCAAGCCATTCCCGCATAATAATCATTTAGCAGAGAATTTGTAAGAATCAACATATCTAGTAATACCATGAACTGAAATTTAAAACTTACTTTTTAGATTGGCCAGACTCTGAGAGATCAAAGAACTCCATTGCAACACGACCTTCAACAGAACTAAGCGCATAACCTGGAAACAATATGAACAATAAGAAAAAAAAATGTATACAATTGATTATGAGAAAGATATTCCCAACAAAAGTCAAAGATAATCGTTGATTAAGCCAAAAGATTGGGAAAATGTCGAGCAGCATATATCTGATGTATAATATTTGCAAATTGTAACAGGAGAATTTGTTGATGCCACCAAAGGGTTGGTTGACAAGTTATTTCTAAGGAAAAAAGTATCCCCTTGAACCCTTTGCCGCTTTCAGTTAAACAAATGTTTAGGTTTAGGTTTAGGTTTAGGTTAGTGAAAACTGAATAGGAAACATAAGAAAGAAGCACCTGTGCCATTAGGATAACATTGGACACAACGTGTTTGGTATTTCAAAGAAGACTCCCTCCTTTGTTCAGGTTGAGACATGTTTCGCAGGTCATACACATTTACATGTCTTCCAGCAGTAGCAACCACCAAACGATTTCCAACAAGAGACAATGAGTAGACACGCTCGGGTTGGGTGTAAGTTCCAACTAAAGAGCGCTCTTGACCACTTGCACCTCTGGGGTCCCAGCACTTCAACGTTTTATCCCAACTACCAGTGATAACTTGCCCTGAAACAGAGTAACAAAAAATTTGAAATTGTATGTGTTAGGTTGATTAGTCTGAAAGTAGAGAAAATACTACAGTCAAGTGCCGAATCCAGAACCAGAACATTGTTATTGATCAAAGATAAAGGAAGATATTCCCACACAGCAAAAATCAAATTCACACACAAGGACGTGCACACACATACAAACATATATATATATATGTGCGTGTATATTCCAAACAGGATAAAAACTCCTAGAAAAACACAATTTGATAAAAAGCTATCATGTCATATCAGAAGCGGAGCCTTTAAAAGTCACCATTAGCAAGGAAACAATCTCAATCCACTTTAAAGTTGATACTATCAAATTACAGAAGTGAGAAGACTACTTCTGCATCGAGACACTCCCAAAAGAAGCCAAATGGTGCAAACAAGCCCATGACCCTTTATTAGGGCGAGGTCTAGCATTCATCTAAGACTAGTAGCATTGATTAGTTAAATCTGGCTTCAAGTGGGGCTAAATGAGAGGGATTAATTCAACTTTTTCTGTATAACGGTGTCAAAGTAACAAGCACACAGAAAAATCACAATGCAGTAGAATCTCAGGCAATTAAATGATCAACCAAATGTAAAACTAGTATGGTGAAATTTATAGAATGGTACGAATTTTCTGCTGAAAATGAAGCTTCTCACCAGTTGCATAAGAGTACTCAACACAACGAACGGGTGCATCGTGCCTCCCTAAAATATCCTCCCTATTGTAGTTGAACACAAGCCTGGAGCAGCAGAAAATCAGCAGCTTCAGTACACATTGCTAAATATATCCTCACCAAGTGAATAATTATTCAGAAAGTTTGGCAAGGAAAAATGTGTTGTGGTTAACCAATAAAAACAAAAACAAGAAAAACGAAGTAGAGGAATAAGAAAAGGAGGTCACCTTCTAACAGTGTGATCGGCAGAAGCACTAAAACCGGAGGTGTCATCGTGAAAGCAACAGTCAAGCACAGGCCCTCCGTGCATGAACTCTCCCCTAAGCGCATTGGCACTAGCATCGTACAATCGAACGCTCTATAAAACACAGAAACAGAAAACCTAGAAACCCTCAAAAACAAATGAAGGAAGAAATCAAGCATCCTTAAAGTGAAGGCAAAACAGCGTATCACCTTGTCCCAAGAGGAGACGAGAAGATGGTCACTGTGGTTGGAGAAACGGAGGTTGGAAATCCCGTCCGTGGGAGGATTCGACAGCTCTCTCCCCATCGCTGGTGGCGCCGTCGACATGATTATCCCGAAAACGACAACAAATCTAGGCGCAGGCTCAGAGATCTTGGTGGGATGACTAGCGATTCCAAAAGGGAGAGATTTGTTAGTGGGGCAGTCGGACGGACGAACAGTTCAAATTCAAATTCAAATTTAAATTCGCATAAAGAAAGAAAGGCTCCACGCTCATTCACTCGATCTTGAAACATATTGGTGGGACGCTGAACTGAAAAATGGGAACTGGGTCAGGGTCAGGGTCGGGGTGGGATCGAGAAGGATGTAATGACCAATTAGCCCTTGACTTATTAATATTTGGGCTGCCTACCTGCCTTCATTCAGGCTTCTGCTCACCTCACTAGAGTGAATATTGGGCCCTAAGGCGATTACCGATCACCTCCCTTCTATACATCGTAATTTAAATAGGTTTTGAACGATGTGATTTTTTATTAAAAATTCATCATACTTCTTCGTTTAGTTTCGATAAATATTTTTTATATGATGTCTAAAAAATTATATAAACAATATAAAAATAACGAGTATTTTTAATTTATTAATATTTTTAAAAAAATTATATAAATATTTTTTACTAAAAGAATACACTTATGTTTAAAAAATATATATATATTTTTTAATCTCAAAAAATATCTTATTAAATATAATTTATATAAAAAATTGAAATTAAATTTTCTCATACAGAACCCGAAGAAACACACATTTTTGGGTTCTATTTAGATAGGTTTTTTTTGGACTTTTATTTATTTTTTAAAATATTAGGTACGCCATATTATATTTTTACATAAATGTGTTTTTGTGTTTTTTGTATTAAATATAAAGAATTATCTAATTAATATAAAAATAATATTTTTTTATTGAATTATTAATATAAGTAGATACTAATATTCATTAGCAATTGTGTCAACCAAAAAAACAATTGAGTGAAATCTGTTATAAAATATCATTACGTTTGTGCGCTCAAATTTTTTTTCCAACCCAATTCTCTATATTTCATATTAAAAAATTCAAAACAAAATACTAAACAAACAAATTCCAAAAAAATTACTATTTTTTAAAGTCTAAAAGTTTCAAAACTTTTGTCTAAATATGTTAAAATTTTGAGCTAATTTTAAAATAATAAAAAAAAATTAGATTAAAAATTATATATTTTATACATAAATAATTGTTTGAATAATCTTGAATATAAAATATTTTTTTTAGTATAATATATTAAAAATAGATAATTATTTCCTATGATATTTTTTAAAAATAACTATCAATAAATAATGTAAAAATAAATTTGAAATCCTAAATAAATAAATTCTCTGTCTCCCTTATTCTTAATTTTTTTTATTAAAAAACTAATAGGGTGATAATCAGGGAAATGGAAAAAAACCCGAGTCAATAAAAATCTATTCCTACAAAGTGTAATGTAACCAGTAATACTTCGGTGTATCCATATCGCTCCTAGAGGTGAAATGATTTATATATTCTTGAAGCAACACTACTAACAAAAGATATGGCGAACCGAGCGAAAATAGAATAATCGACCTAAGGAGAAATAGAAAAATATGTGAATAATAGTGTGTAGGCATTTATGCTTATTTATCTGTTCTCTGCCCAACAAATTATGGGCTTATTTTATCTTTTTATCACTCTGTCATAATTTAATTTTGATAATAGACTAAGGGTGTTTTTTTGTTGTAAGTTGAAATTTAAACTGGGTTGAATTTTTTGATTGGATTTAAATTGTTTTGAATTGAGATGTTTGAATTAGTATTTGATTGTAAGTTGATTTTTGTAATAATAATATATTGATTGATAGTTAAAGTGAAATGTATTGATTAATGTGATAATTTGAATTAAAAAATATTAGAAAATTTTAAATATAATGATATAATAAAATATAGTATATATTTTTAGATTAGTTATTATTTTTTAAAACAATATAACAATACTTATTATATAATATTTTCTTCTTCATCATTCAAATTTATAATACTTATTTTTTTTTATAATTTTTTCTTTTCTTTTCTAATAAAAAGTATATGAGTTTTTTGTATTTTTTTTACTATAAAAGACAAAAATTAATAATTATTACTTATTTTTATTAAAGTTTATACTAAAATATTTGAATATATATTTTATATAGTACTCCTATGATATGTATGTATATATAGGTGCACGTATACAGTGTGTATAATATATAATAACTGTAAATATATGTAGTATAATAATATATTCATAAGTATATATATACACAAGAGAGAAAAAATAAAAATAAAAAATTTAGGAGATAGTGACGTGATATGCGCAAACATGAGGGTTTGATTTCTTGAATTACTGTTTGAGTTCTTGAATTCTCATAATAAGAATTATTACAATTCTCAAATAAGTGGAAATAGCTCATCTTTGGCTTACAAGGACATGACTCTGATCAAAGAAATATTATCACATAGGGCAAGGTAATGTTTGGCTATGAACATTCTTTTTCCGATATTGTCAGGTATACAGGTAAACTAGTGAATTTTGTCTCGAACTATTCTACCATGGTGTACACCTAGACAATGTTATAAAAATAACATCATCTCACATCTCGTATGTTCTCACATTTGTTTATATTTCGGGCTATGGAAAACACATTTAAATAGGTGTGTTTGTTTGAGGGTTTGGATTTTGAGTTGGGATTTGAATAGTAAAAATTTTGAATTTGAATAGTTGTATGATGTGATATAAATAGGTGTTAATGTGATGTTTTGAATGTAAAATTAATTTTTAGTATAATATAAAAAATAAAAAATAAGTGTTTGATTTGATGTTTTTTGAAAGAAAAAATAGGATGAATAGTGGAAATCCAAACAAATCCCTCAAACAAACACACCCTTATTTTCACAAGTGCTTCACTAGAAGTGGCCCCCCACTTCGCACTTACGTAGGTGGCCTCCTGTGAATATCCTATTATACTCTACCTAAAGATCGGTAATAACTCATTAAAAGCTCAATGTTTAGCGTGCATCACTGACAGAAGTATCAACATTCAATGTTTGCTCTTTTCCTCTCGAGAAATGACGAAAGACGTGTATTTCAAATGTTGCAACGTGAACTCATATCACTTAGTAGCAACTTTATAAATTGATTTCGGTTTAATCATTTAGTTAGTGGATTTGTTAAAGTTATCCTTAGACTTTACATAGTCTAATGAGATTACCCACGTGAGATTAATTCTCGCATGGTATTATGCTGACGATGAATATGTCATGACTTACCTTTGTACAGCACATGTTGTGCCTTTCCACTTGCCGTTAGGCTATCACAATATATCGTTACTGTGAGCATAAGTTTTATCAAACATGAATATCCTATAGGAGTTTTTTAAGCTATTCAGCTTCCTCATCTGTCCTATCTAAGGCGGTAAATTCAAATTCTATAGAAGATCGCGTTACACATGTCTACTTAGTCGATTTTTACAACATAAAACCTCCTCCGATTGTGAACTCATATCCACTCATAGAAAATAAATCACTTTGATCTCGTATCTAGTTAGCATCAAAGTATCTTTCAAGAGTTGGAGGATATTTCAAATAACATAGCCTTAGGTTTTTTGTACGTGTTAGATACTTATGATTATATTTTGTTTTTATATTTCGAGCATAATTTAAGATGTTCCGTGGTATGATGGGTCAATGTTATGTTTTTTTGAAATTTTGAAAGAATTTAAAATGTTCCGCGGTGACGGAATACTTCCAGCGGCGGTGATGGTTTTTGCGGAGAGGTTTCGCAACAATGTTTTTCGCGTAATGCTTCGGTAGGGATGGGCTAAGTGGGGAGGGGATGGTTTCAAAGAAATTAAATCATTCACAACGTGAGATCGTTGGCTTTTATCTCGGTTTTGTTTTGATTTTTTATTGATATTTATGTAAGTGATCCAAGTATATACAAAATATGAGGTATATTACCCTAAAATTCTATTTGTACAACGAGATAATATTTGAGTATATAAAATAGATAATGTAAATTTATATAAAATTAATCGGAGTACATAAAATATTTGTTACATTATATTATAATTTCAAGGATAAAATGAATAATAGGAAATCAAATATAAACATAAATAAAAAATAGAGAGTGCAATAAAAGAAAATAGAGAGTGCAATATTTTCTTTTGGAACATACTGAACTTATATCATTTTTACATCATTAAGATTTTAATCCAAATTGTCCATAAAAATATTTATTTATTTTTCATAAAATATCTAAATATAATAAAATAAATATTTTTGCACTTTAACAATTTACAATAATTAATAACAAATACATATTTTAAAAATAAATTATATAGAAGATTTTTATTTGCTATCAACTGGGGATTGAATTTTAAATACACTTTTTATTTCATTTTTTTATCTAAAAATATTAAATTAAACACTTATTTTTTATTTTTTATATTATATTTAAAATTAATTTTACATTCATAATATCGTATTTATATCACAAACACATCCTAATACTATATTTTATAATAAACAAATAATGATAGTAATAAAAATAACAGTATATAATTTGAATTATTGGGCACGCGATCGCCACAAGGATTTTCTATTTAAACCTGAAGATTTAATTTACACAAGAGATTCGCGGGGAAGGGAATCAGCTCTCCGTGTGATGGAGATTCGACGCGTGTTTGAACCGGGCACATCGCCGGAATTCGCGGTACTTCTTCTGCAATCTGCACGACCTCTGAAGTATATTCTGCTCTGCACCCAGTTTTGTTACTTTCGGAATTTCACATTTACGCTAATTTGGCGTGAAACGTCCCTATCATATTTTTATTTAAGGATGCTTTTCATTTCAAATCATCCAATGGTATGGTGGTGTGAAACAGCAAAATCGAGGTTTTCGTGCGAGTGATTTTTACTGATTCGGAAGCTCGTTTTTGAGTGGATAGATTTATTGTATCTTGTTGGTTTCTGAATTTGTAAGGACGAATTGTACCATGAAAACCTTATGTAGGTAGCTGAGATATTGAAAAACAGAGGGAGTTGGTGAGGGACATTTATATTTAGTGTAAATTTGGTTGTTAATATAGCCACATTTGACATTACAGGGCACAATATATGTTGTGAAGTCAATAATCAGATGTAGATTCAGATTCAGAGTAAAATTTGTCGTAGCATTATTATGATCTTTATATCTTCGCTATGTATAAGGATTTTAATTTTGTCTTTGGGGAAGAGATCAATCTAAGAGGTAAAAGGCCGACAAGCAGACATAGATATTACACATTTTATAAATGTATATCTATGAAGAATTGCCCCCCCCCCCCTCCCCTCTCTCTCTCTCTCTGTCTCTCTCTCTCTGTCTCTCTCTGTAAGGCCACACCCACATATATAAAATAATTACTTACTGTCATCTTTAGGCACACACGCGGCAACCCCCTACCTCCAAATGTAAATAAATACTGATATTTCACAGCTCACGCCAACCTGTTTCTGTTCACTACTACAAATTTCTGAGATTTTGGGTTTGGTCTCCTGTTGTTGTCAACTTTGTTACAACAATGATAATTAGAGTTCTTAAAAAACATGCTATGTAGTTCTATTTACACTTGATTTATGGTGGTGTTGATGATCTGCTTTGCAGCTACAAATTAAAATTTTATGCAGTTGTTTCAGAACCCGTTTGGAATTCTTCTAGTCATGTAATGTGTTGTGATGGATTTCTTGTGATTCATCACCAGTGTTTTTGCAGCTGGAATAAATGATGTCATGTAAAGTAGATTTTGTCTTTCTGGTAATCAATCAGACTATGGACTGGAGTTCAATAAAATGAATCTGTTACAGTTACTCACCAAACACCTGTGCATCCCTTTTCTATAGATTTGTTTGAGGAAGGGGCAAGTTGGAAGAGAAATCATGTCCCCAGGTAGTTTTTAAGAATGTCAGGCAATCATTATTTATCTTCATTTGTTTAATAAAGACAGAGTTCTGAAACTGACCCCCACGTTCGTTCTCCAGCTTGCCAGGTAGGTAGGTATCTATGTATGATCACATCTCTCTTCCCTAGCTAGCTAAATCTGAATCCCAGTTTTGGATTAAGCTGCCCGATGACATGATGTTAGTTAACCAATGATTGAGACGTGCGTGATGAGCAACTATCAAATAGATTATGGTTAATTTGATATCAAATAGATTATGGTTAATTTGATATTTAATATACGAAGGGCCAACCTCCCATAGCATATGCATATTAACTTAGTCTTCTTTGAGTTGGGTAGGTCTCATTGTATGTCTGTGTTTTTCTTTTTTTAAGATATTACAAGTAGAACAAGGTCGCTCTTGCTCTTGCATAAAATATATGTATATATATTAATGTACTAATATAGAAATATTCCTTTGTCCATCTGTGACTTTGTGTGTTTTTTATTCCTTTCTCTTTGAGTAGTATAAGTACTACCCCCTTGCCCTGTCTGTTCATTCCCCAGCTCCATCCAGCACGTTGAGCTTCTTTTTTGTTTTTTAACATTTCTTTCTTGGTTTTGGTTTTGCATTCTTTCATGGAAACTGTAGGAACAATTGCTCCTGAAGGGGAATGGAACAATTGCTTCAAAGGTGAAGAGGCTGATTTGATGGCACAATTGTTGCTTGGTAACTATTCACTCCCAACCCATTTGAGCAATTCTAACTTTGCATTCTCCTCTACTTTTTGTCCTTGGATGGTTGGTGTTGGTGAAACTGCAAATAATAGATGCTCATCAGGTGAAACTGACACTTACATCAGTTGCTATAGTGGAGGGGGCAGCAGCACCTTTTCCCCTTGTCTTTCTCCCCAATCTCTGCAGACTAATAACAATTCCATTACATTAATGGATAACTGTAATGTCCTAGTGGAAGAGGACGATTTCCTTACGGAGGAACTGACTGGAGATGTTGTTCAAGGGAAAAGCTTTCAGCTTGAGCTTCACAATGTCATTCCTGAAACGTTGAAGAAAGATAAAGGTTGTTGGCCTTTAGATGTATCCAAGAAACGATCACAGAGCCATCCTCACCCTCGAGAAGTAAGTATGAACCATGCACCGTTCATCTTTCCTTCCACCTGACCTGGCCTGGCCTGCTACATGTTATGTATGTTATGTTATCAATCAATAGTATAATAATGAAGTAAAGAATGTTTCATCTTCTTGATCTTATTAGCAGTTTATGCCAATGAAATTACACAAGGCCAAGACAAGTGTAAGTGTAAGATCCAAGAAAGATGCAAAGAATGACGACAATGACAATGGCAGAGACCTCAGCAATACGAATGTGAGTTGTTTAGATGATGAATCGAATGAGTTGGCAGCGGGAGTGGGAGTGGGAGTGGGAGGAGTGAGCTCAAAGGGGAAGACAAGAGCAGTTAGGGGTTCAGCTACAGATTCCCAAAGCCTCTATGCTCGGGTGGGTACTGCTACTTAATTATTTACATTTATCAAGTTTGCTTTGCGTAACCAGTTGTCTTCCTTTGGTACTAAATATTAATATGTATGAGTTATGATATCTCTCTCTTGACAACGAACAGAAAAGAAGAGAGCGCATAAACAAGAGATTGAAAATCTTGCAGAACCTCGTACCCAATGGAACCAAGGTAACTAACTAACTAACTAACTTCTTCTGAATGCACTCACTGGCAGACTTCTGCTACATCCATGACGATGATGATGATGACAGGTTGATATCAGCACAATGCTTGAAGAAGCCGTCGAGTATGTCAAGTTTCTGCAACTTCAGATTAAGGTATTTCTCTCGAATTACACCAACTCATTTATTGTTTAGCAATGGGTAAGAAGTGTGACCGCAATTACTTGATAAATGAATTTTGTTTTTGCTTGAGCTCTGCTTTGCGTAGCTTACAAAAAACAGATTTTAAATCCAAAATATTCTACATAGTAAAAGAACAAGTTAGCTCCCAAGATCAAGAATCATATATGTGTGTGTATGTATGTTGAATGCAGCAGTTATTGAGCTCGGATGAGCTGTGGATGTACGCTCCCATTGCCTACAACGGGATGGACATAGGTTTAAACAAATAAATCACATCCATCACAATCCTGAGAATGAGAAAGAGATTGATTGATCTATTGATTTCATGCAAATGATAGACAGGCATTGATGTACGATATAATTGAGAAGAAAGTAAATTATGGAATTTTGATAACTTGATTCAAGAAAGATGATAAATGTACACTATATATGATACACTCAGCTACATGATGGGATGGACAAAGAACAAATCACAAAACAACAATAAGAACTAACTATTGTTACATTATTAAGGCCCAAGACGACAATCGTTACCCATCTTCGCTTTCATATTTCCCCTCTTTTATGGTTGTCCTCTTCGTGTAAACTGATCTTGCTTGCTCCTACACTAACTTTCATCATCATCATCATCGCCGTCATTGTGAGCTTCAATTTCTTCACACCTTCCTCTCGAACCTAGCATGTGCATGCACACTTGGTTTGGAGATTCTTGAATGAAGGTCTCAGAAGAGACTTTGTAAATAGATAAGCCAATTGGCATGTGCTCTTTGCATGTAATAAAGAAATGAATCCTTTGAGATGATGATACCAAACCACATGTCTTGATGTGTTTGGTCCTTTTGGCTGTACAAAGTGTAGTCTAATTGTCATGATGCAATGGGATATTGTGTATTTAGATGAAAAATTTGTTAATAAAATCAAATAAAAAAAGATTTACTAAATATTACTCATATTGAATCGAATAGAGAAAGAAAACAGGAAAACAAACACCAATATTTGAGGCTAAGCTTTTGGCACATCCTTGTTCAAAAGGGACGTCATGAAGGCTACCTCAGAATCAGCGTGGCCAACAATTAATAATGACCCCAAAACTCACTGAATTGAACCAACCTAAACTGAATCGATCGATCCCTCACTATCACATGGAATATAGCACAAATCTACACTAATCTCTCACTTATCACAATAATAAGCCTCACCTATTACAATTCGTGCACTACAGAAAAATAATATATTTGTAACGGAATTCCGTCCCAAAAGTTCATGTAGCTAACGTAATTTCATTCATAATTCCGTCTCTAATGTCACGAGTAACGAAAAAAGTAGATTTAGAGACAAAAAGTTTTGTTACAAAAATAATTTTTTCTTATAGTGGTGGAAGAATCACACAGAGAATCCCTATCGAACTACCCACAGGAGCGAGAAAACGAAGAAGACAAGTTAGGGAGAGAAAACGTCACATAGGAAATGAATTTTGAATTCTCAAGCAGCGGCACAACACACCCATATACATAATATAACCTAATTCAGATCAGACGGCCAATATTATATCACAAAATTGAACGGCCATGATTTGTTGATGGTGAGTAATGGGCCAAACTTGACAGAGCTACAATTGGATTGAGGCAACACGTGTGGGTTAAGATAAATATACATAAATATACATCATGGGTCAGGGGCCAAACCAATATTTTCTCTGCCTTGGCCATGGTTAAAAGAGGAGTCTAGGGGGATTATCATAGCCAACCCGCGCTCGACAAAAAAATTTAGTAATTTCCTTGAAAATCATAAGGCAATGAATATATATTGATTTCAATCAAGAAAATTAACATTTAATTAGCCGTATCAAAATTCAAAATCCTCACACACGACTTGAATTTAGCAACAGGTAATGACTTAGTGTCTATAGCAGTCGAATTGAATTGGGAAAGAATTTTTCCATGTTTTCTACGGCCTTTAGCAACTATATCACACATGACTTGAAATATAACATTAATATGCTTGGTTCTATCATGAAAACCTGATTTTTGCACAATTGAATATCTAATTGACTATTGGAAAATACTTATACCTCACATTTCAAGTACTCAATCTAAGTCAGCGAGCCTTTAAGCTATAAGGCCTCTTTAATCGTCTCTGTAATTGCAATATACTCAAATTTGGTAGTTGATAGAGCAACTATGTGTTGCAACTTTAACTTCCAATTTACACAAAAAATAGCACAATGTAAACACATAAGAAGTAGCAGTTTCTACTATCTATATCATTAGCATAGTTATAATCTACATAGCCTTTTAAAACAACACATTTATTATATTGTTTATATATCAATTCCAAGTTATTTGACTTATACAAATAACACAACAAATATTTCATAGCAACCCAATGTTCCAACCCCGAATTAAATATAAATCTACTTAAACAACTGAAAACATATGCAATATCGGGTGTAGTACTAACCATAAGATACATAATCAAACCTATGACATTTGGATATGACACATTTTTCATGTATGCAACATCAAAAGCAGGTTTGAGATACTGGTTTCTACTCAAATAAAAAATGAGAAGCAAGTGAAACATTGACAATTTTAGAATTGAACATATTAATTTATTTTTATTTTTTTTTTCAAAATTTTCTCAATATAGAAAAGCTGCCCTAAAAATAGATTTTTGTTTTGTCTATCCTTTTTAATATGCAATCCTAATATTACTCATGCATCACCAAGAAATTTTATATAAAAAATGATTGTTTAAGCATTTATTAATTTGACATATAATTTTCAAATTTGGTCTAATCAACAACATGTCAAGGTCATTAACATAAATCAAAAGAAATACAAGCATGCCGCCGACAGTCTTAAAATACAAAAAATGATCATATTAACTTCTTTTAAGATTTAAACATTTCGGGTGCGTTTGTTTGGGGGTTTGGATTTTGAATTGAGATTTGAATAGTAAAAATTTTGAATTTGAATAGTTATATGACGTGATATAAAAGTGATATAAATAAATATTAATGTGATATTTTTTAATATAAAATTGATTTTTAGTATAATATAAAAAATAAAAAATAGGTGTTTGATTTGATATTTTTGGGGAAAAAATTGAATGAATAGTTGAATTTAAATCCAATCCTCCAAACAAACACACCCGAATGTACTCGTCAAACCTTAAATTCTATTGCCTTGGTGATTGTTTCAAATCGTAAACCGATTTTTTTAAGCAAACACACAAAATCAAGACTATTTAACTCTATAAAGCCCTTTAGTTGTTTCATGTAAATATATTCATCCAAATCACCATGTAGTAACGCTATTTTCACATCAATTTTTTTAAGTTTCCAATCTAAATGAGTTACTAAAGCTGTATAAGAAGAATAGCATAAAATTTTACAGCTGAAAAAATTTTCCCGTATAATCAATGTCTTCTTTTTGTGTAAAACCTTTTGCAACTAATATTTCTTTAAACCTAACAATTTATTCAACTTTATTTGTAATATTAGATAACCACTTGCAATCAATAACAAAACAATGTTCGGACTTTAGACTAATTCCCAAGTTTTGTTCACTTTCAAATAATTCACTTCATCTTGCATCGCTTGAAACTATTTATTTTTATATTTCAATCTTACAACTTCATTAAAAGTCTTAGTTCATTGTCATCAAAAGTATCACAACACCAAATGTATATGAAGTTAAGTTATAACCATCTAATCTAGATGAGAGCCTAATAATTCTTTTTGGTCTTTCATTGACAAACGGATCAATACTAGATTCATACAAATTTGAACCACTTAGTTCAGAAATATCACATTCAGACTTTCCTACACAGGAAAAGTAGTTGGAACACAATCAAAACTCCTAACAAAGGATGAACAGTTGGATCAAGATTTAATTCATCATTTTCAGGTAAAAAAAATACTTTTCAGCATTCTTTAATCCAAAATAATTAACAGAATTTTTGTTGGACTCGCTAACATGCTCCTCACTCTCTCAAGGAGAGTACGGTTCATCTCCCCATTTTGTTGGAGTAAATACAAGATTGTTTTATCCTTAGTTATGCCACATTCAACACATATAATTCATCAATTGATTACAAAATTCTAGTCAATTATTAGTCCTTAAGTATTTGATTTTATGCCCGATTTGATTTCTATCAAAACTTTTCAATTTTTAAAAACATCAAACACATCATATTTGTTTTCATTAAGATAACCCACCATTTTCTTGAAAAATTGTCAATTATAGACAAAAAAATATCTATTTCCGCTATGTGAGTTCACTAAAAGAACGTCACACATTGGCATGAAGATATTCAAAAATCCTTGAAGATTTAGCCACATTAGGGGATGAGGTGTTTTGAAATCGGACTCTATTTTATTTGCGAAATACACAGTCATCATATATGATACTTCATTTTACCAAAATACCCACTTTTGCTTAATATTTTCAAACATTTATTACTAATATGACCTAGAAGCATTTTAAGCACATATTAATGATTCAACTTTTGTAACATATAAGTTATTTCTCCCTTTCAGCTTTAAACATATTTATAGAACCCTCAAAAACTTTTATTACATCATTACCCTTTTTTTTTTTCCCCCAAAATTCCTATATCTTTTAACCCAATACAAGAGAACAAATTATTACACAAATCAAACACATGTATCACATTGTTCAAATTTAACACGAAACCCGAACTAATTTCAATCTAACAATGTCTATGTCCTCAACTTTACAAACCCTATCATTTTCCATAGAAGTACTATTGATCAATGTTATATAATTTGAAATTACATCTTTTAGGCATGACATATGATAGGTGCATGCTGAATCAATTAGCCAATTATTTTTATAAACAGTATTCACACGAGAACAATTAGATTTTACGATATAAATATCATTAAAAAAATTAATTTTTAAAGGTAAAACTTACATGTTCTTGAGACTGTCCTTTATTATTATTGTTATTACTTGCAATTGGCTTCCTTTTCGATTATTTAACATAACAATATTTTTCATCGCATGCAAAACACCTCTATCTTGGTTTTTAGGCTTAAATCTAGATCTCTCCCTATTTTCCTTTTTCCTTTTTATCATTTTGAGAGTTGATGTTGTTACTTTGATTTAGATAACTCTTTCTATGGGGTGATCTATCTCTAGTATACATAAGCTCATCCGAAGAGTTATAAAATTTTTTAATGGCTAAATCCAATTCTTTATTTTTTAGATTATTTACAACAACATCCAATGTAATATTATTTCTTTCATAACTAATTACGGATTTCACATCAGAATAATTTTTAAGGATGATATTTAGTAAAAAAACTAGACTATATGTCTATGGTAGTATCACCGATGAATTTTATGTCTTGCATAAGCTTTTGAAAAACACACAAGTTCTCACTAGTGCTTTTATGTAAATCAAGTTTAACACTAAAAAATATTTCAAGTAAATACAAAACTTATTTGACAAAAAAAAGTTAGTATATAATTATTTTAATTTATCCCATAACTCTTTTGCAATTTTAACCTTACCATTTTTTCTAATGACCGAATCAAAAAAATAAAAATTATACATAAATATGTCATTCATCTATGTCAGCTTTTTTGTCATTGATTACAAAAGTCTCATAATTTTCATCTATTGCCTTAAAAAAGTTTTTAAGTTATCAAAATCCTCTTCAATCATGGTTTTCATATTGCTAAATTTGTTATCCATGAAATGTATCAAATTTATGAAATAATAATCTGTCATGTTTTCTTGAAATTTTTAGAAATAGATTCTATCCAAAAAAATATATTGTAAAAAAACAAAGCACAGAAGAAAAGAATCAAGAAACACTCTAGAGCACAGAACACACACAAGACACATGCAAGGTTTTCTAATCTACTATACACAGGGTTATATTTGACATCAACCAGCAACTTTAAAACGATTTTCAAAATAATAATAATAATAATAATAATAATAATAATAATAATAATAAGCCACAATCAGTAATTTTTTCATTAGTAATTAAAAAACATAAATACATAGAAAATAACCATAATTAGTAGCTTCCAACATAATATTCACATAAACACACAATAGGCTACAATAAGTGACTTTTCCGGCGGAAATTAAAAGTATGGGGATTCGCCTTTTACCAGCCTTGAGTTTTCACTCACTTGTGAGAAAAATGTAGTGAACAACCAACGTGTTCACTTAAATCAAATTTTAACTAACTAGCAACACGGACAAGGTTAGAAATAACAGAAAATATTGTGTTATTTCTTATTCACCCAAAACTGGCTTCGATGTCACAATTTAAAAAATATGGATGTTACGATTCTGAAAATTGAAGAAAACATCAATTTTCCTTTGAAAAAATACACATTAAAAATAATTTTATACACAAAACCTTTAAAGATTTGAAAGGAATTTGCACAAAAATTAAATTCCGAATCAAAATTAGTAGCAGATTTTTAAACAAGAACTAAAAACTTCTACAAACTTTTTTTTAAAAAAATCAAAAGCAGGCTGGATTTGATCAAAATTTTAATAATTATAACCAAGCAACATTCTTTTTGGAAATTGAAAAATCTGATCCCAAAGGAAGTCTATAAAAATCAGCAAAGCAATTTCAAAAAATACAACATTATTTGTAATGAAGATAAATTTTCAGAACTGAAATAAACTTAAAAGAGTTTTGAGTAAAATCTTTGAAAACACTCAGAACAACTACAAATTGCAAAATAGACTGATTTCTTCAAAAATTTCGAGAAACACAACAAGAAAACCGAAATATGAAGGCTTAGAAACAAGTTTTTCAAAAAATCTTGAAGCTCTGGTACCAATGTTGTATTTTTAGATGAAAAACTTGTAAATAAAATCAAACTAAAAGAGATTCACTAATATTACTGGTATTGAATCCAACTAAGAAAGAAAACACAAAAACAAACACAAATGTTTGAGGCTCAGCCCCTGGCACACCCTTGTTGTTCAAAAGGTACGTCGCGGAGGTTACCTTAGCACTGGCGCGGCCAACTGTCAAGAATGGCCCCAAAACTCGCCGAATCGATCGATCCCTCACCATCGCATGAAATATAGCAGGATCTACAATAAGTTCTCACCAATCACATTAATAAGCCTCATTTATTAAAATCTGTAGAAAAATCGCAAAAAAGAATCCTTATCGAGCTATCCACAAAAGCGAGAGGATAAAGAATCGAGCTAAAGAGAAAAAAACGTCACAAAGGAAATGAATCTAGGATTCTCAAGCAGCGACACAATACACTCATATACATAATATAACACTAATTCAGATCAGACGACCAAGATTATATAACAATATCGAACAACCACAATTTATTGATGGTGAGTATTAGGCCAAATTCGACTGGGCTACAATCGGACTAAGGCAATATATGTGCGTTAAGATAAAAATAAGATTTCAAAACACATCATGAGCCAACCCAATAGGATATGTAAGAGAAGTGGCACAATAGAGTTTTGAGCAATTACTTTGGATGTGTTTACTATGATCAGGGTGATATTATCTGTTGGAACTTATCAGGAATGTAATCCTAAGCTCAGGATCTACCATGTTGTAATAATTGAGATAAGAAAATAAAGCTAATAAGATCTAACCTTATTCCTCAGCATAGTCGGATTCAGATCTACAATTCGATGGAGGGTTTCGTATTCTTCAAGTCTATGACGCAACCTCTCCTGAGAGGACCGGGTTTCTACCGTTACTACCACGATAAGATATGTAAAGTAATGGATGTTGCGTTGAGATCACAATCTTATTTATATCCCTAATTATTAATCGGCCTCGTTACCCAATTAATAAGTTACCGGATTTTCTGTACATAGGAGACCCGTATTTACTAAATACATTTAAGATAAATACTTAATTAGGCTGACTGATAGACCAAATAATTATATTTAACCCACGTACAATTGAATTTTTAATCCAACATTATCTACATGGGTGTTTATTTATAAAATTATAAGTATATTATTTAATCATAGTTTAAGGGATTATTTTATCCTATTTATGAGATAGGATATAATAATCATAACAATTAGTATAATAATCACATACAAATAATAAATTTTAATCTTTCAAAGTACACATATAATAAGATCTTAGTGTATGTAATTATTTTCTTAAGCACAAAAGAGTATAGGCTGGTAGGTTTTGTACCATGCAAATAGTTATGCAGCTTTACTTTACACACACAGTACTTTTGTTGTTGTATGATGTTGCAATGACAAAGTCTTGACGTGTGAAAAACTTCTTTTATAAATAATTATAACATTTAATTATGACTAAATTATAGTATTGCTATACTAGTATCTATATTTAAAAAATAAAAATAAAAAGAAAAATTTTAAAAATACAGGAGAATAAAGTTGAATTACAAAAATTACCACACGTTTTTAGTGAGGAAATGTGAAAATGGATGTTTATCAAATATGCATAATATTTTTGCACAAATTAAACTTCAAATCATTAACTTAGAATTTCTATTTTGTAGAAATTTATTTACTATATATCTTGAATTATTTATATATCATATTCTCAGTACAATTATTATACTTTAATTTCCAAATGAACAGCAGCATCGACATCCGCTGAAACATCAAATTTATGCATTGTAGAAATTTGATGAGCAGAGGTCGAATGGGTGGCCACAAGTTCATAATCACCATGAAAGAGGGAAGCTTCAACATAGCCACTGAAATCCGTAGTTAATTGTATTTCGTTGGTGGGAAGGAAGTTGACTTTGAATTTGTCAACAACATCACCAGTTGGTAGATTCTTGAAATTGTTGTCGGTCAAACACATTCTATAGCATCCTCCGGGACTCCATGCTGACCATAGAATGATTCCTCCTACACTGGGATGGCTATACACTTCTCTTAAAATCGCATCCAACCAACTCGCCTGCATCCCGATCTAATTTTATCACTTTTTATTTTTTATATAATAATAATAATAATAATAATAATAATAGGCGACAATCACGGTGTTATTTTCCTACACAACACTAATTAATACAAAAAGTAGCGTTCAACAGTTCAAATAGCATATGCTATGTGAAATAAGAACATATGTTATATTTATAACGAGACTTTCAGAACTCTTCATTTGTGTTTTTTGAACTCTTAATTAGTGTTCTCTAGACTCTTAATCAATGTTATTTAGAAATCATCACAGGATCATGTGTTCTGTAAGAATATGTCATGTATTTATTGTTTTTGTGCTCTATTTATATTATATTAATTTAAATAGTGTGCTATATATCTAAACTTTTAATATTTATTTTTTAGATGTTTGATCGGTGCTAATTTAGAGAAATTAACACCGTAACTGAACCGGTAATAATAATATGCACTTTTCTACCAAAATCTTTCCCCCCGTCCCACTCAATTGTCAAGTCTTTCTATTTTCGTCCGTCTCACATAATTTGTTCTTTCCTATTTTATAATTATACACTTTAATCACTTATTAAAATTCACAATTTATAACTTTTTTTTTATTTTAAATAAACTATATAGTCATCTTAATGTTAGTCTATAATTATTTTTACTAATATATTTCTTAACTATTTACTAAGTACCTAATACATAAAACTCCGTACCTAAGCTAAAGTGGACAATTTAAGTGGGACAGAGAGAGTCTCATTTATTATAAATGATATGTTAAAAAAAGAAAAAGAAAAAAAAAACCTGATTTGGGCCGGATACAACGTCCAATTCTGTGATCCAAATGGGAAGTTTGGCGGACGAGAGTTGATCAAGGGCAGACCTTATATACGCCAAATTTGGAGACATGCTAAAGTGACCCTCCACCCCGATGGCCAAAGGGCCATTGTATCCATCTTTTCTGATTTGCTTAATTTTGTCCAAGTACTTTGTAGGCGATGATTTGCTGTCTCTATTATCTTCGATAGTATTGTAGTCATTAAGAAATGGAATCATCCCACCGTCAATTTTATTGGCCATTTGAAAAAAGGCAGCAATGGCATTCCCACCGAGCTTGCTCTCGAAGAAGTCGAAGTGCAAATTCTCGTTCACAATGTCCCAATGGATGAGCTGCCCGCGATATCTGCTTATAATCGACTTCATCCTCTTATTGGCTACTGAAGACAAGGCCTCTTTTCCGAGACCATTGATCCATGAGGGTTGGTACTTTGGGTCATCCCAAAACACATTATGCCCGCGGATCGACACCTTATGAGATTTTGCGAGTTTGACCAATGCATCGGATTTGGAATACTCTTCTTTGCCTTGGGAATTTTCATTAGAATACCTAAAACATTTTCCAATATTACAAAGAATAAGATTGGTTGATGAAGATTTAATTATATATAAGAGATGGCTAGGGTGCTTAATACACCAAATCAACATATAATCTCTCGTGATTTAGAAATTGTACAAAGTTCTATCGTATTTTAAAAAAATATTGCACATACTTGACTAAAAATTGCATGAGGTTTCTTTATATATATATTTTAAAATATTGTATAGAATTTTCTAAAAAAAATTTGTACAATATTTTGAAAATACAAGAAGGTTCATGCAATTTTTAAATTATAAAGAGAAGTGATACAAACTTTTTAAACGATAAATGGATCATAAGTAATTTTGGCTAAAGAATACAATTGGTTGACGAAAATTCAATCATATATATAGGAAATGGCTAAGGTGTTAAATACGAACAACTCAACACACATATATATATATATACACATTAAATAGTTTCAATTAATACAATATATTATATGGATTGAAACTATATAATATCAATCCACAGTTTATAAATATTTTTACGGATTTTAAGAAAAATAGGTAAAAACAAAATTTTTTAATTTTTTGGGTAAAGAAAATATAGAAAAAATGGTTATTTTTCACTAAATAAAAGAAACAAAAATAAATTTGGATGAAAAAAAAAAAATGAAAATAAATTTGGATGATAAAGAGAGTATGTTTTATGAAATATTACCATGTAATATCAGTTCAAGCTATATATATATATATATATAGGTATTATATTAACATAGAATATTTGTAGTTGATACATATATTTTATGTGATGTCTAGGTTGAAATGCTTATTTAATTCGGTACATATAAAAAGAGGGGAGAGTGCACGTTACCATTTGAGTTCGTTCTCGAAGACGGTATACTTAAACCTTGAGAAGAACCAATTCTGGTAAGCCGGATTGTTTAAAATATTTCCATTTATAGCACATCCAAAGGGGAAATTGGATCGTCTTGGTTTTACTTTTATGGATACAGAAGCATTTTGTAAGACTCCGCCATTTTGATCTCGGACTTGGAATTTCACCTTTCTCTTGCGCACCTGCAATTAATGTATGTATATTTATGTTATAATAAAAATAATATTTATTATTTTAATTTATTAAAAGTATTCTAATACGGCATATCATATCATATCATATCATATCGTAACATTAATTTGGTTACCATTTCCACACTCTCTTGCCGATGGGATTGCCACTCTTCCATCGTAAAGGGTTGTAGTGATATGTTGTCCCCCCAAATATCAACCTCCCTATTATTGCTCTAATAATTTTTGCAATAATTAATTACAACACAATATTATTACTAATATCATTATTATTACTCCATCCGTCGTGCAAATGTGTACTCATTTGAACCAGTACGAGTTTTAATAAAAATGAATAATAATCGTTACTTTTTTCATTTTACAGTAAAAAAAAGTACAAATAGTGATAATATTTTTTTATAACAGTTGAAAAGAAAAGTGAGTATAAATTTGAATGACGGAGGAAATATTATTTTTCCAAACTAATAAAAAAGGAAGAACCTCAAAATAAAGATGGGCGTGACCAGAAGTATTGGCAAGAAAGCCACCCTTCAACATGGACCAACATCCGCGTCGAGCATTGACCCAACCAATGTGTTGGAAGCTACCGCTCCGTGTCCTCACTATAGCTCCGATGCTTGTTGTTGTTTCGCCATCATCACTTATCCGTAACCACGCTATATATATATATATATAATTTTTAGATACCAACCATAAGCAATTACTCAATATTAATTCAGGAGGTAGCAATGTATAGTTATAAAAAATATTTATTAGTATCGTATAAATTACCGGAAAACGAATATAATTTATCCTTTTCCAAGTAGATTTTTTGGGAAAAGCTATGAAAAGGTTGCCTTCTTGCGGTGGCAATAATGTACGTGTTGCCATCTTCAGATTCGGCGCGCTCAATTTTTGCATCTCCGTACGTCTTCCATCCATTTAATCCTTTATTAAATTGTGAGTTCACAATTATGCCTCCATTGTATAGAGGCGGTTGAGGTTTATCCAAACACTGCAAATTTGTTAAAATATATTTAGAAGCAATATATTATAGTTATGGCAGTGATCTTATTTAACACATTCGCAGGATTCTCGTCTTATTTAGACGATTTGTATATTACTATTATGTATTCTTATGATTGAAATAAAAGAATTTCAGTTTCATATTCTAACATTAATGCTTTAATTTACGAAATATTTTTATTCAGAATTAAGCATATACGTCAAATTTGAAGTGACCACATCAACATATTCATCCAAATACATGTTATAGTAATTTTTGGTGTTGTTTATTTCAACTTTATGTTGAGTTTAAAAGTAATTGAATTTGCAATATTTTATAAGAAAAATAATATATTTTTATATAAAATGTGTAATGAAATATCGAAAAAATCTCATAATAAACAAAACATCTGTTTATAATTCAACATTGACTTTATGCCCTCAGCTTAAGGGAGAGAGACTTCCGCCCGAGACCAATCAGAGAATAGAATGCCTCTTATATATTTATAGACTTATTTGATATTTGTAAAATATTAAAAGACTCCTAAAATTGTAACAGATAAATTATTACACATACATTTTTCAAACTTAAGGTTAATACTATTTCAAATTAAAGATTAATTTTGACAGCGTAGTTATTGGACATACATTTTTTTTCCTTTTTTTTTTTATTTTATTATTATTATTTTTAATTTATGATATTAAAAAAATTATTTACTCTTTAAAATTTTGGGATTTTGATTCCAAATCCTAATATTCAAATACTTTCAAATAATATAATTAAAAATATTTAATAATATATTTGATTTTTATTTAATTTATATAAATTAAAATCCTTATATAACGTACATGATGTTGTCTTAGAATAATTTATTTCACCATTAAAAATTTGCAAATAATTTTATCAAATAATTTGAAATCTATCATTGAAGTTTTTGAATTTATTAAAGTTATAGATTATTATTCTACAGTTTATCCTATATCATTAAATATGTTCGTACGTATAACCTCAGTTGAATGATGAAAATTTTCAAAATTAAAATTATTAAAAAATTATTTAAAATTCTCTATATCTCAAGAATAATTGAATGGGTACCCCCTATATTGTGCATTAAAAAGAAAATATAAGCCAAATTAATATTGATATTATTATTAAAGATTTTATATAAAGAAATACGAGAAAAATTATTTTATCTTTCAAAAGTTAAGACGATCCTACTTTATGGTTGTACAAAAATATCAATTTCATTAACTAATTACTTTCCTTTTCGCCATTTTTATACTCATTTTTTTTTGGAGGACGGAGGGAGTAGAATATTTTTGGTTGAGAAAAATGATTCTAATTGTTTGTGAGTTTTTTAATTCAAACATTACTAATTCATTAGTTTTTTTTTTTCAAAAAATCAAATTAAGTATATATATTTTATTTGTTTACATATTACAATAAAAATCAATTTTACATTACCATCTAATTATATAGCATCAAATAACTACTTCAATTCATATTTTTACAATTTAAACATTTAAACCTAATAATTTGCAAACCAACAAGCAATACAACATTAATATGTTCTTTACTCATCTTATTAACTGATAATCTAAGTTTATTTTATTTTCAACATAAATTGGAAAAAACCTATAATTTCATTGTATGATTCAACCACTTACCTCTTGTGTGAATGAGTAATCATAGTGCACTGCATAGACGTGATGATAACCTGCAAACAAATATTCACATAGCTCACATAATCATGAATATGAATTCCTAACAATTATTTATTTCCCGAGAAAAGAAATTATCAATTTTGTAACGGGATTTTTTCGTTTCTAAATTCACTTTTTTTTTCTGTTACTAATGATATTAGAGACGGAATTAGAAATAGAATTACGTTAGCTACGTGAACTTTAGGAACGGAATTCCGTTACAAATATACTATTTTTTTTTTTTTAGTGAAATGCTAAAATTACCAAGAAAGATTGATAAGAAGCAAAGACTGTATATCTTCATTGCTTATTGATTTATAAATTTTTTAAAGGGCATATAATAGGGAAATATTTTCCTCATTTATAAATGTAATTAAAACCATTTTTCTCTTATTTTTAAAAGTAAAATCAAATTAATGAATGTGGATGTTGTTGCTAAAATTTAGACAAACTTCCCTCGTTTTAGTATAATTGTAAGTTGAGCAAGATTCTATTTTTTTTTTATATATTTCTATTGCTTCAATATTTTGGGAAAAGGTATATACCAAAATATTATTCTATCTCTCTTATACTATGCTCATTTGTTTGTTTGTTTTTGTTTTTTTAATCCGCTAAAAGTATACATAATATATTTATAATAAATAATCTTATCTACTTATAATTTTATTATTTATACTTTGAAAATTTAAAACATTTGATTCCTAGTGTTCCAAGCATACAATTGCTCTAGCTTATTCTATAAAGAACGAGCATTAATCTCACCAGCAGTTCAAACACAAATCGACGGATCAAGACACATTGCTCAACATCATCTACTGCAAGTCTTTCCAACACCTATCCTTAAATTACTCTAGGGCAATCACGTTTAACTCTAAAAGTCTTTCAGTATGGCTAATAGATAGAAATGTACACATTGTTGACATGAGTAGTCTATTCAATTCATTTAACATTTAATCAACTTCAGATAGCCTAATACCGGTTCATCTACACACATGAGTTGCCCAAGCAACGGCCCAACTCAAGGATATCACATCATCCCCCACTTTAGAATGCAACGTCCATGTTGCACCTCAAGGACCGTCACACCCATCCTCAAATTATTCTAGGATAAGGACACGGGAGTTGGCCAAGCAATAACCCAACTCAGAGGTATCATATCCTCCCCCACTTTAGAATGCAACGTCCATGTTGCACCTCAAGGACCGTCACACCCATCTTCAAATTATTCTAGGATAAGGACGCTTAACGTTGAAGTTCTTTCAGTAGAGCTTCCGAAAAAGAATGTGCACATTGTTGACATGAATATTCTATTTAATCAATTTAATCTCTATCTAATCTAGTCGTGCAAATCCGGTTGTGTCGGGATTGTAAACTTACCATATAGGTCAATACGGATCTTTCTAGCGCACTTCTGTCCTCACTCATGGCACCTTGGGAAACTTTCCGGTGGTCACTTATCCTAAGAAATTATTCTAGGACAAACACTTTTAACTCTAGAGTTCTTTCAGTAGGCCCCCGGATATGAATGTATACATTGTTGAAATTAGTAGTCTATTCAATCCATTTAGCATCTAATCAACTTCAGATGGCCTAATATCGACTCAATCATACACGAGAATTGACCAAGCAACAGCCTAACTCCGGGGTATCACAATAATATACTCTCTCTGTCCTACTTCATTATGAGAAAAATACATTACTGAGTTAGGATTTCGATATGTTTTAGAGTAGGGTTAGATTACTTGAGAGCATTGAACTTAGTAATTTTTCCTTCAACTTACTCAGTAGTCTGAATTTTGAGTTAAACCAAGTATCCGTTGATATAAATTGAAAATGTTAGTGCCCCATTCGTTTCATTTTTTCCATACTCAATAAAGCAAATGAACTTTTGACTGTGTTTATATGAGCTGAATAAGAAGTCCTTAAATATGGTTTGAGAAGCGATGCGAGCGAAGCGGGGAGGACCTATTGTTATTGGAACTTAACACAATGTTTGAAACTCTATGACCCATCGAGAAATATAATGAGTGATGCAAAAAAAAAAAAAAATTGCACCTTTCAGCTGAAGGTATCCTAATATAAAAAAAAAAAAAAGAGTCCCCACTGAGCAGACAAGGTTGATTATACCGGGATCGCTTAACTCGTATTAAATCAGATTGACAAGTTTTGAATGCTTAAGAATCAATTTTTTTTTTTTTTTTTTTTAATTGAGATTCACTTTATTCACAACCATGGCACTGATCTTATGCAATATTTGACTGTCTTGAACGAGTTAACTATTTGTTCTTGCAATTGAGTTTGTTCGAGGACAAACAAAGGTTTAGTGTGAGGAGGTTTGATAACTCCAAATAATAGCATATTTATCAGTTGATGTGCATCATCCGCTCATTTCAGCCATGAGAGCCTAGCCATTATAATTACACAGAGGTCACACACAAACATCTCTGGTCACTCTTGTTGCTATTATTATTATTGCTCATTCAATCGCTCCCACTATCACTCATCGCTCGTTAACCATTACATGTATCTATATATACCGCTCACTATCATCCCTACCGCTCCGCTCATCATCATTCCCACTACACTCGCCGCTCGTGAACTATCGTTCTGCTCACCATCACAGCCACTCACTCTTTACTACTTTCTTTACTTTATCAATTTACTACTTTAGGCTTGCTCGGCAGTGAGCCAACCTTTACTACTTTTTTCGAATAAGCCAGACTCAATAAATATTTTCTAATTTAATTTTATGGCTTAAAATCCTTGTGTTCGACATGGAAACTCACCAATCAAATAGTATAAATCAATTATGATATAGCATTTTAGGTTCTACAACAATATCATTTTCATTGATTTCTATATCTGATCATTTACAATATGCCAAGATACAAGATTGTTTTAATCCGTCATATGCCTTTTATGTAATATGCTGACCCGATCAAATCAACCATGCTGATTTGATTGGGTCAACACTTGATCCGCGTCCTAAACGAAATTAATGAATGTGGATGTTGTTTCTAAAATTTAGACAAACTTGTCTCATTTTAATATAAGGGTAAACTATTTTATTTAACCCAGTAATTGGACTCTTTTAATATTTTAGTCTCGTAACTGGGGATTGTCTGAAAAGTCCTGTAAATGGAATTTTTTAGCACTTTTGCTCCTCCGAAGCCGAAGATGCTTGTGTGGCTCGCCGGAAGACACGTGATTTTTTTTTTTAATTTTAATTTATGTATTTTTTTTGTTTTTATATATGGTCCAATGGATTGATACTTGCTATTTGGTCCAATTGGACCAAATACAAAAAAAAAAAAAAAAAAAAAAAAAAACTTAGAATCACTTCCATAGCAATCGTCCATCACAAAAAACGAACCTTAAAGATCAAAACTTATTCCTTGTTTTCGTCTATGTATCTTCTCCGTCGATTTCTGTTAATCGTGATGAAATGTGTTGCTATGCTAACAATATTTGGATATATCGCAAGATCCAATTATCGGAAGGTAGCAGTGAAGGGATCAATTTTGGAATTGAATCACGGATGCATATAACCAAAATAAATATATTGATTGAGAAATACGTAGTGCTAGATCTGTATAAAATCCAATACATGTCATGGAGAAAATTGTTCAAAAGTTACTTGGTTACATCAAAAAAGTGAAAACCTTAAAACCCATCGGAGCATTAGAGATGAATATTGTAAGTTTCTTGTTAAATTTTTGTTAATTTATATATATATATAATTCTATTTGTAACTTAATGTCTTGGAAACATTGAAGTTTAAGGTAAGCATCGAGCTCTCGAGATTCCATGTGTCACTAAGTACACCATCATTCTATATCAAAGAAAGCATAGTTAGAAACCATTCTTGCCGTATAAAGATAAGCACGATAGTCTCATATTCCCCACAGGGGGACCAACACCGCTGTCATCCCGTTTGATGGATCTACTCCGCCGCTGGCCATGGACCGGATAACCACTCGCTCTTTGATGTAGGTTTTGGATAAATGATGCAGTTAAATCAAGTAAATGAGGTACTAATAAAGGAAATGCAAGCTTCAATATAGGTTTTAATGACAATGTCTAGAACTTGTCAAAATATTTTGAAAATTTAATGATCATAATAGAGCTAGAAATCCATATAAAATATCTCAAAATAATTTCACTTGTGTATCATCATCATCGAATAATACTAATTTTGAATCTCGTGAAAATTCTTCATTTTCTATTAATTTAGATCATGATGATGAGAGTGAATTAAATTTAAATTATAATAATTTGTGGGTCTTTATATAAACTCCCCGTATAGGGTGAAAAGTAAAGTAGCAGAAGAAAATCGAAGATAAAGAAGTTGCTACTAAGGGTGTGTTTGTTTTGGGGATTGGATTTTAAATATACTATTCATCTCATTTTTTCCCCTAAAAATATTAAATCAAACACCTATTTTTTATTTTTTATATTATACTAAAAATCAATTATACATTCAAAACATCACATCAACACTTATTTATATCACATCATACAACTATTCAAATTCAAAATTTTTACTATTTAAATCCAAACTCAAAATCCAAACCCCCAAACAAACACACCTTAAGTTAAAATAGCAAAATTCAATGATTCTGAAAATGCTAAAAAAGATCTTCTATGCACAGACGATAATTTTTTCAATTGAAACCACAAAAATTAACATTTAAGATAATCACACTTGAGAAATATATATATATATATATGAATAGACTTAAGTTCTATTTTTTTTATCCTACTCAGCATGCTTCTTGTTACTAATTTCTTGAATCAAGTCCACAATCTTCTTCAATGTGTTTTCTCTAAATATTTCAGTGATATTGATGGAGATGAAAAATATTAATATTCCTTAGTATTAAATTAGTGTATTTTAGGGTGCGTTTGGCAATTAGTTGTTAGCTGATTCAACTAGCTGGTTTGACTAGCTGATTCAATTAGCAGTTTCTATTAAAGTGTTTGGTAAAACAACTGTTTGATATTAGCTGTTTATATATAAAATGACTATTAAGGACATTGATATGTTATTTTTAAAATATTTAATTTTGTTCAGTTTGGTTTGAAATTTATGATAATTTTTATTATTAATTATTCAAAATTATAAAAATATTATAAAATATTTATTTTTATTTTTATTATTTAAAGTTGAGAAATTATTTATACTAAAAACTAATAGTTTTTATTAAAATTCTGTAAAATATAAAATAATAAATTTTTCGTATATATATTTTTATTATTTTCTATTTGATTTAGTTTTAAAAATTTATATATTTTACAAATAAAATAATTTATATGTAATAATTAATAATCGTAATTATTTTAAATTTACAAAAATAAAAATATAATTTAATAAATTCAATATATTAAAAATAATTAATAAATACTGCTATAAAAATATATTTATATGTATAAAATAAATAATTAAGTTTTAAGGGTAAATAAGTAATAACTGAAATTAAAATGAAAAAGCTCTTTCAAAACGCTGGGTAGACGAGCTTTTTGGGTCCAAAAAACTTTTTCAAAAAGCTAATTTACCAAACACCTAAATTAGCTTTTTGACTGGTCAAACAGCGAAAAGTTGTTCAATAAGCTAAAAGCTCTTCAAAAAGTTGTTTCCCAAACACCCTCTTAGTAAACAGCTTTTTCAAGAACTTTTAGCTTATTAAAAAATTTTTATCTGTTTGACCAGTAAACCAGCTAATTTTGGTGTTTGGTTAATTAGCGTTTTCAATTAGCTTATTGGGTCCAAAAAGCTAATTTTGAAAAAGCTAATATACCAGCGTTTCAGATTAATTTTTCCATTTTAATTTTTTTTATTACTTATTTGCCCTTAAAATTAATTTATTCTTTCACATATATTCATATATTTTTTTATTACACTATTTATTAATTATTTATAAATATTTTCTTCTAATAATTTATAAATTCATATTTATAAATTTAAAATAATTTATTTTTTATATGTCAATTATCTTATTTATAATTTTTTTTATTTTTTAGAATAAAGATAATATAAAAATATTAATATTATTGAATCAATTATATATCATTTTTTATCACATAATATATTTATTTAAAATTAATTTTAATTAAAAATTAATCTAATCAAAATACATATGTTAATAATTTTTGTTCTTTTATATTTATACTATTTCTAATGAAAAAAAAATATATATATTTTTAAATAAACTTGTATTAATTCTTTACAAAATATTTTTGAAATATAAAAACAAATATCTTACTAATAATTTTTTAATTTTTAAAATTAATAATAAAATTATAAAAAAATCTAGTCACCGAAAAAACTCAACTAAATATTATAAAACTAAAATATAAAATATCCTTAATTGTCATTTTACGTATAAACAGTTAATATCAAACCGTCATTTTACCAAACACTTCAATACAAACAGCTAATTGAATCAGTTAGTCAAAATCAAATCAGTTAAAAGTTAACAACTAACAACTAATTTCCAAACAAACCCTTAATATTTTAAGCCGTTAGTATTTGGTCAAGGTAATCTGTTTATTTATGCAATTTTTTTATTTTATTTTATTTTATTATTTTAAATAATTTTATAACATAGACTGATATATTTTATTATTTTTATATTGTTTTTATAATATATATTAGCATACATACATAAATATTATAGATAAATTTTTACGAGAAATATACAAAATAATTATTTTCAAACAAAAAAATTACACATTACTTTCCAAAACTTAAAATTATGTCATTTTTAAAAAAATAAAATTACGCATCACTTTTCAAAAAATAAAATTACATATCACTTATCAAAAAAATAAATAAAATATTACATTTCAAAAAATAAAATTACACATCACTTTCCAAAAAAATAAAATTACACATTATTTTCCATAATATAAAATTAAATATCACTTTTTAAAAAATAATGTTACGTATTACATTTCAAAAAATAAAATTACACAATATACCACAAAAATAACAAAATTACCAAAAATATCAAATTTAAAAAAATGGAGTTGAGCTACTATGTTAATACGGCGCATTACTCCATTTTTTGAGTCGAAAATGAAGTTGGGTTGGAGGGGGGAAAATTGCAAAAAATATTCCACACGTATACCTCATTATCACTTTTATTCTGTATTTATATTTCTGGTAAAATATATCCCACATGTTTTCAAAAGTCGCTATTTCTATCATTTGACCGCGCGTGGCTGCGCGTGATTGCGCCTAAGGGCGCGTGATGTGAATTTCACGCGCAAGAAAAGGATATAAATAACAACTTTTGTAAACATGTGGGATATATTTTGCCAGAGAGATAAATATAGGACAAAAGTGATAATAAAATATAAATGTGAAATATTTTTTTGCAATTTAGTCGGTTGGAGGGCAACCCGTCAGAACTAGCTAAGCCAATTAGAGATGATCTTAGGAACTAGATTTTGCTACAAAAACGGAGATGATGATTTTGAAATCACTTTATTTTAAATATATTATTTGTTAAACTATTTGATTTGAAATTTTAAATACATGCTATATATATATATTTTGGCATAATGCATTTAAATTAATATTTTAACTTTTACGGTTGAATTATATTTTTATTTTTGATTTATATATTATATTTAAATTAAAATTTAAAATTTAATTGAGATACTAAATAAAAATTTATATTATTTATTATATTAGTTAATCTATAAAATGTTAAACTACTTTACAAAAGTTCAAAAGAAAAATACATTTAGATTAATGGTATATCATTTTTAATAATTCTGACAATTTACAAGTATTTTTAGTTTTATTACAGTCAACCATTTTAAAGCTTTTTTTGTTTTAATTCACTCTAAATCGGCTTTATATATTATTTAAGGGTAAGTTCTTTTTTTTAGTTCCGTAACTGGACCCGTTATCATTTTAGTTCCGTAAGTGGAGCATGTCGCAAACTAGTCTCGTAAGTGAAAATTTTTTGCTATTTTAGTCTTCCGACATGTCAGTGACACTTGGCGGACACGTAGATTTATTTATTTATTTTTAATTTTTTTAATTTTCTTTTTAATTGGACCAAATAAAAAAAATACAAATAAAATTTAAAATAAATTAAAAATAAGTTTTAAAAAAAATTAAAAAAATTAAAAATAATCCACGTGTCCGCCAGGTGTCGCTGACCTGGCGGACACGACACCTCCGGCGAGCCAGGCGGGCGTCTCCGGCGCCGGAGGACTAAAACAGCGAAAACTTTTCACTTATGGGACTAGTTTGCGACATGCTCCACTTACGAGACTAAAATGATAAGGGGTCCAGTTACGGAACTAAAAAACAGTTTATCCTATATTTAAAATAGCGATTTTAGTGGTACGTTGAAAAAATCAGTACGGAGCTGACACACTAAAAGGTTTCTTTAACAAATTGACAATATTTCATCCAAAGTTGAAGTTACAATTGAAGTTGCAAGTGAATAGTTTTAGCATTAGCATTAGCATTAGTCTCATCGGAGGTGGCAATACCAAGAGTATCTAGTTTGTAGCTTTGATTTCCATAGGCGTAGTGATTATAAGGGTGATCATGTGCTGCAACTTCATATTCACCGTGAAACAGTGAAGTTTCAACAAAACCATTGGAATTTGTCGTCAATTTTTGGACTTGATTTGGAAATATCATCTTATTCCTGAACTTGTCCACAACATCACCTGTCGGTAAATTCTTGAAATTGTTGTCCGTCAAACACATCCTGTAACATCCTCCGGAACTCCATGCCGACCAAATAAGGATTCCTTGTACGGCCCGATGCCCATAAACTTCTCCAAGTATCTCCTCCAAATAACTTGCCTGCATAGTTGACTCCCGTAATATATAAATAAATAAATAAATAATGCATGTCCCTTTATATTTAAATTTTTAGATGAGACGGTCATTTAACTTATTATTTTAACAACATATACATATGTACCTGATTTGGTCCGGAGGTAACGTCCAATTCGGTGATCCAAATAGGGAGTTTAGCCGAAGAAAGTTGATCGAGCGCCGAGCGAATGTAGGGCAAATTTGGAGCGACGCTAAAGTGGCTTTCGAGCCCAATCCCTAAAGGACCTTTGTATCCTTGCCTTCTAATTTTCTTAATCTTTTTGAGATACTTTGTTGGCAATGAGCTACTGTCTCTATTATCCTCGATAGTGTTGTAATCATTCAAGAATGGGATAGCTTTGCCATCGATTTTCTTGGTCATTTTGTAAAATTTGGCGGCGGAATTCCGTCCAAGCTTGCCCTCAAAGTAGTCGAAGTGCAAATTCTCATTCAGAACGTCCCAATGGATGAGCTGCCCCTTGTATCGACCCACAACTGAGTTGAGTCTATTGTTGGCGGCCTTAGAAAAATCGGCATTTCCAAGTCCTTTGACCCACGATGGTTGTTGATTAGGATCGTCCCAAAACACGTTGTGCCCGCGGACCGTCACCCCTCGAGACTTGGCAAGATTCATCAGTGCATCGGATTTTGAATAGTCTTCTTTGCCGGGAGTATTTTCAGTAGAATACCTAACATATATATATTCGGAAAATTGATTTCACTTCATTCTCCAACCAACATAACATAATATTACTAATTATTGAGATAGATAGAGTGAGTTATGTACGTACCATTTCATTTCATTCTCGAAGACAGTGTATTTGAATCGTGAGAAAAACCAATCTTGATAAGCTTGGTTGTTTAAGATGTTCTGATTTATTGCGCAGCCAAATGGGAAATTTTGGCGTCTAGGTTTGATAGAAAGGGTCGTGTTTTTTGCAGGACTACCATCTTTATTCTTAATGTAAAACTTCACTCTTCTTTTTCGAACCTATATATTAGAAATTTTGGGGGAAAATAACGAGATTGTCTTATTATCGTCAAAATAAGGAGCTGGATATAGATCATACAAAACAGATTCGACTTAAAATGTAATATATGAATAAGATCAAATCTGGATATAAATCTACTAAATCTGAATATCTAAAATATCTCAACACTGTATATTAATTATAATAAAAACAACCCAAAACAGAAAATATGACTCCACTTCAATTATACTCTTTAGTCTAGAAATGGCAATCTTAAAACCAGCTTCCCCTTGAACCCAGCAAATTCGGGGCAACATAAAAATTTGTTTTTTTTTTTTTTTTTTAAAAAAAATATATATTTATTTTATTTATAGGTTATATACTAAAATATAAATTAAAAAATAAAATATTAAGTATTTTAAATTTCAATAACAAAAGGGATAATATAATTTTAATTGGAGTGACATCGATATAGTAATAAACAATAACAAAATAGTCTGTTAAAATATTCAATACACTTGAAAATGATGAAAGAATGAAAAATAAAAATTAAAAAGCGTTAAAAGTATAAAATTATATTTATAGACAATATAAATTATTATATAAATATATAGTATTAATTTATAACTATTAATTTAAACCTTTTTATCAAATTTGTAATCCGCTCCAAATTCGATCGGATTTAAAATTTCAAAATTCATAAATTGCCCCGGCTATAAAATTTTGAACCCGCTTCATGAACACGGGTCTTGAATAAGTATTTAGAATTGATTAAATTCTTTGAATAAAATACATTATATATATAAAAACAAACGTACCATCTCAATGCTCTTATCTCGGTGGGATTGCCACTCTTCAAGTGTAAATGGTTGCAACGATATATTGTCAGCCCAAATATCGACTTCAATATTTTCACTCTGATATTTAAAATTAATTGTTCAGAAATACTTTATTGATTAAATCACAATCGAAGTAAATAAATAAATAAACAAACCTCGAAATAAAGATATGCAAATCCGGAAGTTTGGGCAACAAAACCACCCTTGGCCATGGACCAACATCCATTTCGTGCCGTGACCCAACCCGCAATTTGATAGCCTCTTTGCGTCTTCAATACTACTTTGATGCTTGCTTTCCCCTGGCTTACTTGCGCCCATCCTACAAATTCGAACTTTAGATACTATTCCATTTTTGAAAAATTATTATATGAGTTATAGTTTTTTTTTTATATATTTATATAAAATATTAAATTAACTACTAATTTTTTATTATCGTAAAAAATCTCTGTATAAACATAGTACAAATCATTTATGCCATACTAATTTCTTCCAAGATTCATTATACCATATATATATATATTTAAAAATAAATAAATAAAATAGTTTCCAATGAATTACCTGAAAATGAATATAGTTTCCCTTCTTCTAATTCAAACCTCTGTGAAAAGCTATGAAAAGGTTGCCGTCTTTCGGAAGCGATAATATATTTATTACCGTCATCGGATTGAGCATGCTTAACCTTTGCATTTCCATGTACACTCCATCCCTTCAATCCTTCGTTCAATTCTGGATTGATCACTATTCCTCCGTTGTATTGAGGGCCTCGCGGATTTTTTAAACACTAAAAGCAATTCACATGTCACACTTAAATCATATTTATTTTTCAAACAAATATCTCAATAAATTGCTCTAAATCTTTCATTACTAATATTCGGTTTTTTATATATATATATATATAGATTAAAATGAATGAATATTACACAAATTGAAAAGGAAATTATCATTTTTTATTACTAAATTTAAGTTTTTCGAAATTTCTATTTAACTTGCCTCGTCTGTATATGAGTAATCGTAAGGCACGGCACAGACTTGATAACCTGCAATATATTCATATTAAAAAAAAAATAAATATATAAAAGATAAAAGAATTGTGATTATTTATTTCTAAAACTATTAATATCAATTTTTTTTTTAAAAAAAAAAAAAAGACAAAAAGAAATTACCTACAAAGACGAAGCAGCAGCAAAAAGTAATAAATAAATTGGGCATTGCTGATATGTAATAGATAAGACTGTCGCTGATGAGTGCATATAAATCACATATATATATATATATATATATATACATAGAAACCAGGATATACTTACCTAAAATCATTTTATTGTTACTAAAAAACAGTGTATGGTAGCATAATTAATATTTTCTTTGTCTCAGATTAAAAAAAAATCATTTGGAATTTTGTATTAAATTAAAAAATAATAATATTTCATTAGTTAGTGGAAGTGTGTAAGGAGTTTTAATATTTTTGTCATTTGAATTTATATATAAAGTAATTAATTATATGTGTAATAGTATGTTAGTAATTTAAATAAAAGTTACCTTTACATATTCTTCTACTCTATGTGAAATACCATCATACAGGGAAATCTGAAGTAGGAGTCCAGAAAAAAGAATAATATTTTGGTATTAATATATAGTTATTTTTTTAAATAAAAAATGAATATTTTAAAATGTAACAAACAAAAATCATAAAAATGTTACTTTGAATTGAAATTAGGGGAGTATATTACTAAATAATTAGATATAAAGTAACATAATTATCAACTTTTATTCATTAGATTTGGTATTAAATTTATTGATCATTTATTGTAAATATTTTATATTTATTTATGTTTCCTTGTATAAAATTGCAAGTTCTAATGTGTATATGAAATTAGATATAGGGTTATATGAAATTATCTCTTAAAAGCCATTAATTTTAAAAACTTTATCGCGGACAAAAATACCGATTACTTAGCGCTTTTGGATGAAATAATTTTTGGTATGTAGTATGGAAAATTATGTAAAAACTATAAAATATATTATTTTAAATTGAATATTTGACTTTTTATAATGAGTATTTTGACTTGTGTATAAAATATTGTATTTATTATTATTTTTTTTTTTGGGGAATCGCAATTGAAAATTAGCATTGGAAGAACAGAATGTGGGGTTTGAATATTAATTACCGTATTGATTTTCTTTTTTCTAAAAAAATGGATATTGATTTCATTCTTTATATACTTAAATTCTATAAATAGAAAAAATATGTAATTATACAAATCAATATTTCTTTAGTAATAGAATCATATCTATAAAATATATATATATTATTATTCTCTCAATATCATTTAATTAAAAAAATAATAATTAAAATTGTGCAACACCACATATATATATATATTAGTGTTCGTCGGCGCGCTAATATATATATAAAACAAGTGTTCAAGAATTTTATATGATATGAATATGCATATTATTTCGTAGATAATTAATTTTTTTTTAATTATACATAAAATAAAAAATAGAACAATAATTTATTTATAAAAAAGATATTTAAAAGAAAACCATAAAGTATTTTAGTATTATATTTAAAATAAAAAGATAGTTGATTTGCACAAATACAAAGATAAGCTATGGGTGGCTTACTGAGATCACCAATGCACACAAATTGAAGGATGGCCGATGTGCCCGCCTTAGAAATATATTTATTATTTATTTATGGTATCAAAAATATATAAATAATAATTAATTAGATTATTACAATAAAAAAATAAATTTAATACATAATTAAATTAAATTTTGAATATTAATAAATAAAAATAGATTATAAAAATATTGATGTATTAGATAATAAAATAATTTAAATTAACTATAATTATGTAATAAAAAATTATAAAAAGTAAATATTATTTTTATTTTTATAAAAATTTAATAATATATAAAAAGTTTAACTAAAAATATCTCAATTTGCCATAAGTTTACACTCTGCTGTTGCACCTGGCGCCTGCCCGATGCTGCTCTGCAAGTCGCAAGATTAAGAAAAAAAAACACAAAAAAATAAAATTCGAACCGCCGGTTCACCTATCGAAGAAATCACAAACCGAATCCTCCATCGGCGATCCTTCGCTTCCAAGTACTATAGGAATTGCATGTTGAACTATAGGAATGCACAGGAAAGTTTCGGAAACAAGCTAAACCTATATCTGAAAGGGATCTTAAAATTCTTCAGAATAGTGATATTCTTCTCAAGCTTGAGGTTTTTTTCCTTCACCAAGGTTCAAAGCATGACATTTGTTATACATTACAAATTTTCTGTTAAACTTTTATATAGCCAAGCATCATAGGATCTTAAACAATGTAGTAGTTTATTGTTCAATACGAAATTTATTGGTTACTTGATCTTTGAAGTCATTAGTATGACAGAATGTTTGATGCTCTGGATTATCCATCTTTTGTTATTTTTTGAAGGATATTTGATTGTGTAATTCAATATATCATTTAAGGATTAAATTATCACCTATTGTCAAGCATGACCAATCTCGTATGGTTCAGTGATGCACAAAATCTAGGTCAGTGTATTCATAGCTTTCTCAATGTGAAGTCTTTTGATAAAACAAGAAAATTGATAGTGCGCGAAGAATTACCGATACTAAGTACACGCGCATGGGGTTGAGAGGAGGCGACCAGCCGTTTCCTCAAACATCTTCTCCTCCATCGGTGATCCTCCCTCAATACTATTTGTCTATATTTTCTCTTTCTTATTTTCTAAATTTTCTAAATTTAAACTTTATGTAAAAAAAATTAATTTTAATTTTAATTTTATTTAGATATATATTATTATTTATTTATAATATAAAAATTATATAAATAATAACTAATTACATTGTTACAATTAAAAAAGATAAATTCAATTCATGATTAAATTAAATTTTGAATAAAAATTAATTATAAAAATATTAATGTATTAGATAATAAAATAATTTAAATTAAATATGATTATGTAATAAGAAATTATAAAACATCAATATTATTTTTAATTTTATAAAAATTTAATACTACCTCCGTCCAGCTCTAAGGGTCTCTTTTATTTTTTGTGTGTTGATATTTGAATATTAAGTATTATATCAAAACGTAGTACAAATTAAGAAAAAATTACAAAATACTTCAATTAGTATCTTATAATACTAATAGAATGACATTTGTAAAAAAATTATACAAATATAAGAATATTTTTAATATTAATTACAATGACGCAAAAGGTAAATAAGTTCTTTAGAGAAAGTCAGAGGGAGTAATATATATGAAATTTAACTATAAATATCACAATTTGTCCTAATTTTACACTCCACCATCCACAACAGTAGCAAGGTTTCCTCTTTCTTCTCCAATTTTTTCATTCATTTCTTCTTTCCTCCTTCACTTCACCTATCCTGCTCCTGCTGCTCCGCTGCACCTAGCTGTTTGCGCCGATGCTGCTATACAAGTCGCAAGATTCCCAGCGCTGATGCTGCTATACAAGTCGCAAGATTCCCAAAAAACAAGTCGCAAGATTCCCAAAAAAACAAGAAAAAAATAATAAAGGCCGAACGCCGGTTCAAATCCTAAACCCGGCGGTTCATGGTTTGAAGAAATCATAAACCGAACCGTTAGTGATCCTTTGCTTCCAAACACTATCACTTTTCCATTCATCGGTGATCCTCTTCTAGAGAAACGCCTATTACAGCTATTTCGGGGTATGGTGATGGGCATACAATATATGTAGGAAATGGTGTTAGAAACAATTCTTTAAATCAAATATATTAGCGGAAGCAAACACATCATTAAACAAACCTCCAGCCATTGCTAAAATCAAATATGTGCTTCAGATCTCCTTTTCAAAGAAACCAGTAAGTTGGAACTCTAGGAAGATGTTGTCAAACCTTACTCCCAAACAACGATGGTGTATTCTAATTTTTGAAAGTAGATTTAGTAACCCGTATGTGAGAGTATTTATAGTTAAAAAGAAAAACCGTCCATCACGATTTTTCTGTCACTTCTCACGTATATTTTCAATGTAATTGACTTAATAGGAGAAAAAAAGTGGGCCACAATTTAGGGTTAGTATAATTAGATAAGATAATCCAAAATAATCAAATTGATATATATATATGGATTAAATATCAAAATTAAATATGATTAAGTAATTAACTAATTAAACTAACATTCTCCCACTTGGCCCACTTAAACTATCACAAACATAACGAGAAACTTTACATACAAATCATGGCGGTAGGTCTTCTATAAACGAATGTTACCTTCCATGTATCACAATATGTCAAGAATCTCAAACCAAGTTCACAGCTTAATGAATAAATCCTATATTTATTCTGGGTTAAACTTAAGCGAGTTTTCTCAATAATAAACAAATATGTACACAATAATGCGAGAAAACACTAAACAGAATAAGAGTCTCAAATAACAATGCGTGCAAATAATTTACATTGTGGAACCAAGTCCCATACTTGCTACGTGATCCCTGAAATTCCTTAGTGGCATGTATTTAGTCAAGGGATCGACAGCCATCAACTTTGTACTAACGTGTTCAATGACCACTTTATTTTCCTTGACACGTTCTCTTAAGGCTAAATACTTGATGTCGATGTGCTTACTTCGACTTCGACTCCCACTCTTATTGTTTTTAGCCATAAACACATCAGACAGTACAACTTGATCGGTCTAGAAATATAGTCAACGACTCTAAGCCCGGATATGAAACTCTTCAACCATACACCATGCGAGCTAGTGTTGAAACATGAAATAAACTCAGCCTCCATGGTGGAAGTAGCAGTAATAGACTGTTTCGCACTTTTCCAAGAGATAGCTCCACCAGCCAACATAAACACATAATCCGATGTAGATTTCCGAGTGTCAATGTAGACAGCGTAGTCCGAATCGGAGTAGCTAACCATTTCCAAGAGATTAGTTTGTCTATACATGAGCATGAAATCCTTCGCACCTTGAAGGTACCTCATCACTTTCTTTGCAGCTTTCCTGTGGTCAACACCCGGATTACTTTGATATCTCCCTAATACTCCAACAAAATATGCTATTTCAGGCTTGGTGCAAACCTAAGCATACATAAGACTTACGACTATTGAAGCATAAGAGATATTTCTCATGTGTTCCATTTCAAGGTCATTTTTTGGACACTGACTCAAATCAAGTATGTCACCCTTCACAATGGGAGCTACACTCGGTGAACAATATTTCATATTAAATATTTCTAGAATTTTCTTGATATAGGCTTCTTAAGACAAACCCTAAATGTCTTGATTTCTATCTGTATGGATCTTAATGCTAATGACATAAGATGCCTCTCCCATATCTTTCATATCAAAGTTCTTTGAAAGAAATTGTTTCATCTCATAGAACATCCATTTATTATTTGTCGCAACAAAATTTCATCCACGTACAACATAAACAAACAAATCCGACTCCCACTAACCTTCTGGTATATACAGTGATCCATGACGTTTTCTTCAAAGCCGAATGAAGAGATAACATCATGAAATTTCAAATACCATTGGCAGGAAGCTTGCTTCAATCCATATATGGATTTATTAAGCTTACAGACTAAATTTTCTTCCCCCTATAGGTAAATCCTTCAGGTTATTTCATATAAACCTTTTCCTCTAAATCACCATTTAGGAATGTCGTTTTCACGTCCAATTAATGTAACTCAAAATCAAACTGAGCTACTAATTATATGATTACATAGAGCAAATTTTTCTTACATACCGGAGAAAATGTCTCGGTGTAATCGATTTCTTTTCTTTGAGTGAATTCTTTGGCGATAAGTCTTGCTTTATGTCTTTCGATGTTTCCATTAGAGTCTTTTTTGGTTTTGAAAACCCATTTGCATCCGATGGATTTTGCATCATCAGGCAGCTTGACAAGATCCCAGAATTTGTTTTATGCCATAGAGTCCATCTCGTCTTCCATAGAATCATGTCATAAATTGAATTCTTTAGAACTCATGGCTTGTGAAAACGTTTCTTGATCATTTTCGGCTTCTATATTGAAATCCAATTCTTGAAAACACACCATAAAGTCACTAAAAATAACTGGTTTTTTTGACTCGTGTAGATCTTCTTAATGTTGTCTCATCATTATCATTAAGAACTTGCTGACCAATTGATTCATCATTAGGTTGTTCAATATTTTCTTGATGTTATTTATTAACAACTCGATCTATGTGATCATTTTCAGCAACTTGTGGAACTTCATTAGTTAATCGTCTAACACTCGTTGGAATTTGAGGAGTGTGAAAGACAATCAATCTATCACTCGATTCATTAGGTTGAGCTCTATAATGATATCTTTCATAATGAGTATCTTGGAAATGATCACTCTCGCTAATCAGTCATTCTCTAGAAATTTAGTATTTCTCGATTCCACAATTCTGGTGCTATGTGATAGACAATAGAATCTATATCCTTTGGACATTTTGGCATATCCAATGAAATACCCACTAATAGTCCTCGGATTTAGCTTCTTTTCTTATGGATTATAAATTCTTACCTCAGACGGGCATCCCCAAACACGTGTATGTCGCAAACTCGGTTTCCAACCCTTGAGTAATTCATAATATCGCAAAGTAGATAATTATACGTGAAGTTTCTCATTCCTCACTTATTCCTTCATTCACTTGCATACTTAAAAATGTATTCTTGAAAACTACATATAAAAAAATGATCACTAAGATAATCCGTAGTACACCCAACTCAACCGACAAGTTAACACCAAAATGTTCATTCTTGCTAAAATGCAATAAAATTTGTGCCGATAATTTTATTTATTTATTTATTTATTTTTTACTTTTTCTCAATCTTTCTTTTTTTTTTTTCTCTCTTATAAGCAATAAACAATAATAAATAGATGCAACTTCCCATTCCCTTGAAGACTTTAAAATTTTATGAGCTCGAAATATTTTCCTATGACTATAGGTTCAAATAAATTTTTGGCTTTAGAAAGAAATGTCATAGGTTAATATGCGGCCCATTTAACAATAAAGTAGGACATTCAAGTTCAAAGGGGCTCACTAAGTGATTAATTTGTTTTTTTAAAAGTAGGAAATATATTATGCCAAATGGTTCATCCTAATGCCCTTATTATATTAATCGCATAGACTCATAGGAAATCACATTTAACATGCATCGCTACGCAAGTTCTACAAAACCAAGTCTAGAACAACAACACACACAAGAAGAAATATATAGCATTTAAAATTAATGCTCTATTAGGCTCAAATCTCACATTGGGTAAACATGTCATGCTCGGAATATTTATCATCTACTTCATCGGCAAGTCATCTAATGAAAACATTTCATGTCCATAAATACACACAAGTCTTTATCACACGAGTCAGTCATGCAATCGGACAACCAATGGATATTTTACTCCTCCATACCCACTATGCACATTGTCCTCAATGTAAATGCATCTCGAAAAAGAAAAAGAACAAAGGACAGTAGGACTTCCCTGAACTGGGTCAGGGTGGTGCGTAAGGTCTTCAAAAACTCTGATAAATTCATTTAGCATAGACATGCTGAAAGGCTGGCATGGGCATGCCTAAAGTCACGCCACATGCTGGAATGCCATTCTTAAGTACTCAAAATGTAGTCCGGGCACGCTTGGATCACCATCATTCCACAAAATCAGAGATAAACAAATTAAACAAACTAAACACACAAAAAGAAAAGAAAATGAGAGCATGAAAAAAAATGGATTACCTCTCAATAACGTACTTCTTTAACGTCATTGGCTAGATATTATTTATGAGAATTTAGGACGAAGGGTCCTCAAGAGCCATCCAAACAAACTTCGTCTCCATCTTTGAACGGGTTATTTCTTATGTAATAATTTGATCGTTCTTCAACTTGTTTCTCTTGGCATTCATCATTGTAGATGAAATGATCACTGGTAGTATTTCACCATCATTTCAATGAGCATATCTCAAGTGATTTGGTAGTGAATTTTGTTCTAACTTTGGTACCTGCACAATCAATGGCAATAGACATGTATTAGTTTTAGGCAAAAATATTGGATCAAGTGCATACCTGTGCAAAATCACATCTAGCGCATCCTTGTCTCTTACCTCAAAGCATCCTGCACTTCAAAGTCAATAGTATCTAACGAGAAAATAAAGTGAGAACTTAGGGGATGTTCAATCGCATAAAAAAATTTAAATTCAATTCTTTCCCCATAAAATTCCATAGTCAAAATATTATGTTTTACATCAATTTTAGTATTTGTCGTACACATAAAAGTTCTCCATAAGATTAATGGTGATGGGTTGGGTGAATGTTCATAATGCATTTCCAAAACATAGAAATCAACTGGAAAAATGAAATCATTAACTTGAACAAGGACATCCTCTATAATTTCTTCGGGGGATATGCATGCGTCATATTAGCAAGTTAAATAACAATCTCAGGTTTTTTAGTGGTGCAAGATTTAAAAAATTATAAATTGATTTCGGTATAATATTAATTGTCGCACCCAAATCTAACATACCACGTTTGACTTCTAACTGACCTATTTTACACGGGATTGTGAACATACCCGAGTCTCCGCACTTTGGTAGAATCTTTCTTTCGAGTAGTGCCGAGACATTCTCGCTTACAACAATGCATTCGTCCCTCTTCAACTTCTACTTGTTAGTGCACAACTTCTTTAAAAATTTTGCGTACTTTGGAAATAGGGCAAGATTAGTATTTGATATAACAACAATATCATCCATTACATCATTTCCTTTACGTCATTTTTCTCGTTTTCCTTCTTGATGGCTCTCTCATCGTTGTCCTTCGAGATGATTGGTTCCGAAGCTTCAACCATCGTCTCAGTCCATAAAGTCATGGAACTAACATTTATCGGGTTCCTTTCTGGTTGTGATAGTCATTTTCCCATCTCACTTTCCTTGACATGACGAAGATCCGCCGTCATTTGCTCCATACGTGTTTCAAGACTTTGAATGCTCGCCCTTGTATCTTGTTGGAATTGGATTGTGTTAGCGGCCATAGTTTTCATCATTTTTTCCAATCATATGATAGATTGGTTGGGTGGAGGTGGTGGTGGTTGGAAGTATTATTGCGGAGGTGTTTGCGTTATGAACCCTTAATATTGTGGATTCTCATACCTGAGATTCGGATGATCCTTCAACCCAGATTGTAGGTGTTTGAATAATGGTCATATTGTAGTTGCCTCGGTGGACCAAAACGGGCTACATTCACATCGGCATGACTTTCCTCGTGTAAGGTAGGGCATGCATTGGTGGCATGCTTTGGGCTCGTGCAAATAGCACACACTTTCACATGGCGCGTGTTTCCTGCAACCAATTGATGAACAATTTTTATAAGTTCAAAAGTTGTATTTTTTTTTAGAAAACCAAGAAGAAATTTACTGCTAAAAAAACACATCAATACAATAGAAAGAATCGGAATTCAAGATGACAGGGTTTCTCAAGTCATGTTGGACTACACTACATTACACATATCATATTGCTTTGTAATTTTGACAGATTTTCTCTTTTGTCCGATTCTGTTGCCTTTGCTACTTCTTCCATCGAAAATTTATTTGCCTGCTTTGACGGCCGCATTTTGAAATGACCATGGTATTCTAAATCTATTAAATTCTATTGTCTTTATTTGTTTAGACTTGTGGTTTATACGTTCGTATTTCTCCAAAACTCAGTTACATGATTAACTGTTGAGTTGTCAGGTTTCATTCTTGGCCAGATTCGACGTGGTTCTTGCATTTTCTTTCTTATTCTTTATATTCAAAGAATTTAATTATAATAATGCAAAAAAATAATAATTTGGAAAAAAAATGGGGCAAAAAAGTTAAAAAAGATATTTTGTCTGTAACAAGGGACATTTGACAATTAATTGTTAATTTTTAGCCGATACATGATTCAAGTTGTTAGCTGATTTGACTAGCTAAATATATTAACTATTGTGCTAAAGTGTTTATTAAAATAGTTGTTTGACATTAGCTGATTATGAGTGCGTCCGGAAATTAGCTGATAGTTTTTAGCTGTCAGCTGATTTAATTAGTTGTTAGCTAATAGTTTATTCAATTAATTGATTTAACTAGTTATTTGTATTAATGTGTTTTGTAAAATAATGGTTTAATATTTAATTTTTATACATGAAATGACAATTAAAGATATTTATATATATTTTTTAAATATTCAATTTTTTTTTTGTTTAAATTTGATGCGAAAGAGTCACGATATTGTGGATTGCAGAAGCCATCCCAGTAACAACACGAAAATAAAATCAACTCCGATGACAAAACCAACAACACCACGATATAGGGAATCAAAACATAAGGCGACGGCCAAAAACCGGCGGTCGGAGGGGGCCGCGCCCGCACACGCTGCCGGAAGGGTGGCAAAGATTCTTCCGCCGTGATTCGCGTCGGTGGCGTGTGAGGGTGGCACGCACTGCAGTTGGCGGCGATATTTGGAGGACTGGCCAGCAATGACGTTGTGATTTTCCAATGGTGGCGGCGGTGTCGACTGGAGCGCGGAAGATGGCGGTGAATAGCGGCAGCGGCGGCTAGGGTTTCGAATTTTTTAAATTGGGCTCCAATACCATGTTAGAATTTGTGAAAAAATTATAAAATCATATTATTTTGAAAATAAGAGTACAAAAATATATATAGGACTCAAGATAATCTAAAATAAATACTCCCTCCGTCCCAAACAAGGTGCTACATTTAAGTTAGGCACGAGATTTTAGGTGAGAAGTATTAAGTAGGATAATTGAGTAATTAGGTGATGTGATAGAGAGAAAAGTGTATATTTTATTTATTTTATTAGGGTGATGTGATGAGATAAAATATGAGGATATATATTAACTATAATTAATTATTTCTTAATTTAGAAATGTTACAAAATATTTCGGACATATAAAAAAAAATGTTACATGATATTTGAAACAGAGAAAGTAGTATAAAGGAGATGTCTATGGCTTAACACCCCACGTATGAATTGTAATTTAAAACTTAAGCTTTTGGTTTTTGCTATTAATGAGAAGAAAGAAGGATGGAAGGGTTAGTGAGTAATTTTTTTTTTTTTTAGAAAAACAAAAATAAATAAATAAATAAATTACACTTATTGATGATTATTTCTTTAAATTTTTATTTAAATTATAATTATATATTATACATATCAAATGGAAAATCATATTTGACTAACCAATAAAACAATATTACTATTTTTTAATTTATGTTTCCTCCGTTCAAATTTAAAATTTTTTTTTAATTATTTTTATTTTTTACTTAAATTATAAATATATCATTACACATGTGTTTGTTTGTTAATTTGGGTTTTGGGGTTTGAATTTTTAACAGTAAAAAGTTGAATTTAAATAATTATATGATGCGATATAAATAAATATTGACGTAATATTTTGAATATAAATAAATTTGTAGTATAATACATAAAAAAAAATTATTTAATTTGATACTCCCTCCGTCATTCAATTGTGTGCTCATTTGACCGGGCACGGGTTTTAAGAAAAATATGTAAAAATGGAAATTTTGACTTTTTTTGGTAAAGAAAAATGATATTTTTTTACTAAAAAAGAAACGAGAATAAATTTGAATGACAACCAGAAAAAGAAAGAGAAAATAAATTTGAACGACGGAGGGAATATTATTTTAAAAAAAATCTACATAGCAAAAATGTATCAAAGAAACAAAGAAAAATACAACTTTACACACTTGATGTTACCTTAATTTTATAATCTACTTTTAAACTCAAAACTCTTGGTATAGTGTTAGAGGGAGTATTTTATAAAAATATAAAATATAAATTTTGTATGTATATACGAACAGCCCATTTACAAACCAGCTCAGCCCAGCCCAGCCCAGCCCAATTTCGTAAAAACGAATTAATTGTGCATTATTCTGCAGCTCCTTCAGTGGTTAGAATTGGCTCAGGCCTTGTCTTAGGGATTGACGCAATTGTTTCTCCGCCTCCGGCCACTGCAGGGAGTGGCGCCGTTGTATTTGCAACGAAGATCCTCTCATTTCGGAACTCGCTCTGATGTCGCGTAGGGAAGACCGTAGCTCTGATGCGAAGCGCCATCGTTCTCGGTTCGATCGTGAGCCTAGGTAAACGACCATTTCTACTTTCTTAACGCAATTTCTTCTCGGTGTGGTGTAATTGGATACGCGATCGTGTGGGATGATTTTGTTATTCTGTTTGTTCATTTTAAGCCCCAAGAGATCCAGGCGAGATGGAAAGGCGGAGTTTGAAAGGGTACTCGCGGTGCCTGAGACCGACAGAACCCAATTGGATCGTGGTCTTAAGTCAAGTCGTCGGCCTCGGGATCCTTTGCCTCTGGAAGTACCGTCACGTCGTGATTCCAAGTTTGAATCTGAAATGAGGACTAAAGAATCTGAAAACCGAACTGACAGACAACATGGAGTTGTTAAACAGTCTTCTGATTCTGCGAGGATACCCCAATCGCGGTCATACTTCGAGGTTTAGTGCTTCATTTTAAGAATGGTCTAGCGTCATCAATTACATCTGCATTGCATATTATCTACCTGCGCATAATTTGGTATATGGCTACTTCCCTTCTCATTTTGCAAAATTTTGTATCCCATGTGTTTTGAGAGCACTCCTGAATTGGATTTTGCTTTATATGCTATGATATTTTAACCTGTAGCTTATACATGTCCCCTTTCCTGCATTGTCGCCATTTTTAGGAAGTTTTGCTAGTCAGTGGTTGATAGACGAACATAATTGGAAGTGTTTGTGATTCCTATCATAGCATTTTAGAGTTCGACTGCTATGTAATGCTATTCGAGATTGGCAATTATGATTTTGTGAGAGTTGGATTAGCATGGTATATCTGCAGTTTTCCATCCTTGTGGATGGGTGTTTGCCAAAAATTCTTGCATATTACTTCAAACCAAATCAAATTCAGTCTTAGTTGAATGCCTTGATATAAAGGCATAATGAAAGAAGGCTGATTATAGGTGTTTGGGGAAGAAAGTCTTCTTTCATGATCAATTTTACATTAAACATTTATAACCCTGGTTGAATATATATATATATATATATACATTGTTTCCTAATGATCTTGGGAAGATATGTTTATGGGTGATGAAGGAAATATATTATTTTGAAAATCACCTTTGGTTTTTATAAATTTATATTGTTTTAAATAATTAGAGCTAGACTAGGAATTTACAAATGCCGCTTATTGCATATTTTAGCAGAAGAACAAAAGAAACTTTATTAAGAGTTTGCAAACTCTCCGTACACCTTTGATCCAAGGTTGTGAATCCATCCCCATTCCTGTTTTGTTTGGATATCAAAATTTAGAAATGATTTGAATCTATAAACTACAGTTGTGGAGGGTTTTGATGTTGACAATAATTCTGATTCTGAATCAAATGCCTCTTTTTCCTTTTGCACTGGTTACTTTTACTCGCCTGGAAACTGGATAAATCTAGGGCTTGTTTCATTGTTAGAGTTTGGGTTGTGAATTAGAGTTATAAGGTAGTAGACTTTTACATGTCATTAACTACTTGAACTATACATTATTGCGTCCATATCAGAGCTTCATGATCGTGATGATTGTTGAACCTCATTCATGATCATCTCACTTCTATGGTGAATGGTCAAACATTTATTTCTGCAATCCCCGTGATGATATGTACCTCCATCTATATAACAGTGTTAGGCAATGTCTCTTATAACAGCATGATGATCGTGGTACCGTTGGAAAAGTAGGAAGGAACTTCAATCGCAGGACTGACAGGGGTAAGCAAGGGTTTTTTATTTTTATTTTTATTTTTATTTTTTTCTGTCTATACTTGCTGTCTTTTAATGCTGTTCTCTGTATTTTAGCTGGGAGCTTCTTTCCTGATCTTATAACTACATGATTTAAATTTGCAAGGCACTGAAGACTACTAATGCCAACCAAGTCTTGGCTACTTGGTAGCCCTTTTCATCATTTTCAGCTAAATTTTTTTTTTTGAAAAAAGTTAAACAGCATGCAGAGTATATTTACATTTGGAATGCACCATATTGGGATTTTTGTGCTTCAGTGTAGCATAGACATCATTATGGTAAAGTGCACAACTGACCAGTAGATAATGTATTTTACATGTAAAGATGGTTTACAAATTTTCAGTTACACGGTTGAAATGAGAATGACATGTGACATATAAAGAGACACTATCTAAGCTGAGATTTACTTTTTGGGGCCATATATTAGTTAGCTTATTGGAGGAAATGCAGCTACACGGATACATTTATAGGGACCAACATTGCTTACTTCAATAACTGATTGCTGCTAAATAATCTTTTATGAAGAACGTGGTTGGTGGAGAGATCCCAGGGAGGGAGTCGATAAAATGGCATCAAATGAGAAGGATGACAAGCCAAAAGACAATGGCAGGGCAGATGATCGTGTATGGCGCCATGATGGATACTTCCAAATGCAGGCGAACCCTAACGCTCCTCTACGTAGGCGGCCGGCTTTCAGAGAGCAAAAGATCCCTGCTGATGAGAAAGCCCAGAAAGCAGAAGCAGGGATGCCAAATGCAAATCCACCCGAACTTGGTGTAGAAAGCAGTAGAAGAGATGAGAGAGGGTATGTGTCCCGGCATTCTGAGAGACAGCGGGATTTGAACATGGGTAGGAGCAGGAGCTTTTCATCTAGAGATCGATCTGATCCCGGCAATAGATACAGAGGCAGCAGCGGCAGTGGGTATCATAATCATCGCGCGCCTGTTGGGCGAGTTGAGAAATGGAAGCACGACCTTTATGATGAGGCGAACAAGAGTCCGTCCCCTAAGAAGGATGAGGATCAGATTTCGAAAATTGAAGCCCTTCTTGCATCGTAAGTACTACTTGGTATGGCTATGGTTTTCCGGAAACATGTTATGTTTTGTGGTCATTTTGGAGCCAAATTAGTTAGGTATGCTCTCTCTCTTTCTGATTGTAATAAATAATTCATCATATCTTTATAATAGATTTATTATTGTGTTTCTGTCTTGTCTTGTCTTTATTTATTTCTTCTTCTCAGCAAGCCCTATTCTGTCACGGTTGGCTACCGATCCGCTCAAATAGGAATAGAAATTGGTTGTAAGGATCAATATTCAATACAGACACTACGATTCTAATACCTTAAGAAAGAATTCAGGGTTTCAATTTAAAATTAATTGATTGTAAATAGTGTAGTTCTTCACTCTTCGTAAGATAGAAAGTCTTAATCACTTCCAATGTGGTATACTCAACTATAGGTAATTAACTTTTGGAATGAGATGTTAATTTTCTTAAATGAGAGATGTTTGCATAAAGGAGTTGTTTATAATGAGTTCAGGCGCGCAATTTTCTATTCCCATCTCCAGACAGTTGCCGCTACAGTTTCTTCTTCCGGCGCTCAGCCCTCCACCACCGCTCACCTCCCCCGGCAGTAGTTGTCCAAGCGTCGCCGCTCACCTCCTCCAAAATTTCCCATTTTGGAGTGTCCTCCAACTCAGGCTACAGTTTTTATTTCTTTTCTTCCTTCAGAATCAAATTGTAGTTCTCGTCGCTGCTGCTTGTATCCAGCCTGCCAGCCCGTCGTCGCTGCTCAGCCCGTCTCTCAGCCCGGTATGTGTAAGACTTTTTGCAATTTCAGTATGATGTTATTGATTTAGGTTTAAGTTTTGTTAACGAGAGGTCTTCTACTCTTGGGCCGATTAGGTTTGTTTGGGCTCAGCCCACTTTTTGTCTTGTGGGCTTTGATCAACATATACATATATATATATTCATAACACTTACCTTTACTTCATCCATTCACTGTCATCGCCACGCACAGTGCACAATCCACCTTCATCTTTATCCTCACACATACACTTTCATACACACTATGCATAATTGATTTATAGCGATTACTTAAATCGTATCACTTCTTATCATCTCTCTCGTACTCTAATCGATCTCCGTATCGATTTTCTCTCATACGCTTTCTTGCTACTCTTTTCACTCTACTTTTTGGTATGTTTCTTCCACTCTCCGCTCTTCCACAGGTTATGATCTATTTCTACTATGATTCTATGGCTTGAATTGAGCTCCTGGTGTACAAGATTAAAGGGAAGCAATAATGTCATCGTTTGGTTGTATAGTTCCTCTTATTCACTGATTTTTTTTTGGATGATTTAATTTGTGATTGTGTAAGAGGTGTGTTCGCTTGTGAACATTGTGATTTCCTAGTTAATTAATGTGTAATGATTGATTAGATCCCTTGTGATCGTGGGAACTACTTTGATTCGTCCTAATGATACATCAGTGCTATGAAAAAATCTTGTGAATCGAGTGTAGCCGTTGTTCACTCGAACTTATGTTTATGTGGTTATTATTTTACAAGTTTCAACATGGTATCAGAGCCACTCTAACATCTCTATTCTTTCCCCCCAAGTGTTGGCTACGATTGTTCTCTAGATTAGTGGTAAGTAAAGGTGTGGAGGTAAGTCTCTGACTATCTTGTGTTTACCTCCCCATAAATCATGGGTGAAAATATCAGTACGATCTCTGGTACATCATCTAATCCTTTTCTAGTAAGTTCAAATTACTTTGATCCGCTGTATTTGCATTCATCAGATTCGTCAAATACTTCTCTAATTTCCTGTGTGCTAACTAGTTGTGCAAATTATGTTATCTGGAAAAGAGATATGACGATTGCTTTAAAAGGAAAAAACAAGCTTAATTTTGTAGAAGGCAAAGTCATTGTGCTTAATGATCAAGAACATGCTGAAAAATGGAGCATGTGTGATGCTGTTATATCTTGGATGTTAACCTTTGTTGATAAATTTATTTAGGGTGTGTTCGTTTGTAGAATTTTAACAAAATTTTACTATTCATCCAATTTTTTCCCCCAAAAAACATCAAATCAAACACCTATTTTTCATTTTTTATATTATACTAAAAATTAATTTTACATTTAAAACATCACATCAACACCTATTTATATCACATTATACAATTATTCAAATTTAAAATTTTTACTATTCAAATCCCAACTCAAAATCCAAACCCCCAAACAAACACACCCTTACAGTACACTTGTTTTTTGTCCCAAAGCTTCTGATATGTGGAACTAGCTTAAGAACACATATGAAAAAAGTAATAGTACCAACATTTATGGTATCTTAAAGGAAATAGGTAACTGTAAGCAAGGAAATGACACTGTTGACATTTACTACACAAGGCTGAAACGCATTTTGGATCATGCAACCTCGATTAAGGTTGTTGATACCTGTGTGTGCAATGCTAGACATTTTTTTGTTAGATATGAACAAACTCAATGTCTGGTTCAGTTTCTCACGGGACTAAGTGATAGGTTCTCTGTTGTTAGAAGCACCATTCTAGTTATGAATCCACCCCTTTATGTTACGGAAACATTCAACGCAATAAGTCAAGAGGAGTCTCACAAACAAATATGTGGTGAGAATCCTTCACCTAAGAACACTGCAGCCTTTGCTGCAAAAAAAGCCATAAGGTCTAATGCGAAAAATCCCAATATGAAATGTTCTTATTGTGTTTGCAGTGGTCATCTAGTTGAGAGGTGTTATCAGTTAACAGGTTATCTTGATAAGAAACAGACCTTCAAAGTTAATAAACTTGGCTCTACTGTTGCTAATGCTTCTTATGTTGAAAGTTTGAACAATGAAGAAACTGTTACTACTTCAAAAATAGCTCTAACTTCTGATGTCTGTGATGAATTGATCAGGTTGCTAAAGGAAAAGAAAGGCTTCTAGTCAACACAGTTCAGCATGGCAGGTATGTCAGATGCTTATTCATGTATTCTACTCTTTCTGGTGATTGGATAATAGATTCAGGAGCTACAGATCAAATGGTGGCTAATAGAAACTTACTCATTGATGTTAAACCTGTCAAAAATGTGCCAATACGTGTCAGTTTACCTATAGGAAAATATGCAACTTTTGTTGAGTCTGGAAAATTTCGTCTGAATAGTAACATCATACTAGAAGACGTCCTATTTGTTCTTGAGTTCACTTTAAACTTGTTGTCTGTTGGTAAGCTTGTTTCTTCAGATGTTGTCACTATAAATTTTTTAAAATGTGCTTGTGTCATTCAAAGTACCTTAGATGGAAGTGTTGTAGGCACAACTGAGTATTGTGGAGGTCTATACAAAATACACAACACTCAGCCTTCTTTCATGATATATTCCAGCTCCAATGCTGGAACTACTTATAGATATACCCTCTGGCATCAACGCCTTGGACACCTCTCATCGGAAGTGTCTGATTTACTTAAGGAAGATCTTGGTCTATCTAACACTTCTGAACTAGTTTATGACATTTTTCATTTGGCAAAACAAACTAGAACACATTTCTCCCACAGTACACATAAGTCAAAAAGTCTGTTTGATCTTGTCCATGAAGATGTTTGGTGACCTTATCACACTGAAAATAGAGATGGTTTCAAATACTTTCTAACTCTTGTGGATGATTTCTCTCTTGAGACTTGGGTCTTTCTTATAGAGTGTAAATATGAGGTTTTCATGTGCTTAACTCAATTTATTGCCTTGATGAAAAACCAATTTTGTAAGACTGTCAAGGTTTTTGGGTCTGACAATGGAGCTGAATTTATGAAATCTCGCCTTGCTGATTTGTTTATTAACTATGTCATAGTGCATCAAACATCATGCACTTATAGTCCTAGCAGAATGGTGTTGTTGAGCGCAAACATAGTCATATTTTGAATGGTGCCAGGGCGCTCATGTTTCAAAGCCATTGTCCTGCTAACTTTTGTGGGGATTATGTGCTTGTTGTTGTCCATGTGATAAATAGGTTTCCTACTCCCTTGCTTGATAAATTGAGTCCTTTTCAGGTTGTGCATGGACGAAATCCAGATTTAAACACCTTAAGAATGTTTGGTTGCCTCTACTATGCGACTAAAATGAATAAGTCAGACAAGTTTCATCCCGGGGCAACACGCTACTACTTTATTGACTATGACGAGAATAAAAAAGGTTACAAGGTCTTAGATCATGAAACCTTCACAGTCTTTGTTTCCTGTGATGTTAACTTTTGCGAATCTATGTTTCCTTTCCACTCTGGTAGCTTAACAGATGGATCACATAAGTGCATCCTGAAGTCTGGCCCTATTAGCAGTGCCTATGATGAATTCTTTGACATTTGTGAAGGCAGTCATTTGGGAATACCTTTGGATGGTCTTCAAGAATACTTCTTGATTGAACAACCAGGTGCTACCAATGATAGCAACACAAATGAAGTCTGTGAACCTCAACATTTCACAAAAATAACTCAAATATCTGAGGCATGTCCTAACAGACGTCAATCAAATAAAAGACGTTGTCCTCTTGCCTATCTGCATAAAAATAAAGATCTACATTATGCAAGTTTTATACAAATAAAAAATGTAAATATCTTAAATAATTTTTTTGAATAAAATAAATAAACAAATAAATTAATCAAGTCGAACCGACAATTTATAGTTTCAAAAATAAATAAATAAATATTAAACTCCCAGCTTCAATTCGAACCGAAAATTTATAATTTCGAAAATATAAGAGCTGAAATTGAACTGTGTAAAAATTGATTTTGGTTAAGTATTTGAAATAAAAAAACCGGTGTTTTAAACCGCAGGTTTGAAACTGAAAGACAAATTTATTTACGATTCAAAAATATTGAAACCAAAATTAAACCATGATAAATTGGTTTTGGTTTTATTTTGTTGATCGGTTTCATTTGTATTTACAACACATGTTTGTCTGTTCTGATATTTTATGATTTCTTAATTATATATTTTATATTTGTAAAATATTTTATGCAGTATTCAATTCCATATTGTTACATTTTTATTATTTTTTTAGTGGTCTATTTAATATAATAGTGGAATTAATGCAAATAATTCTAAGTTTATACATATAAATTATTTATTCTCTAGAAATATAAGAAGAGGATATCTATTTTTCATTTAGTTACTTAATTATTTATATGCATTGTGTCAGGCTATCTGTTTTA